AGTACAACTTCATACAGTTGTCAAGGACATTAAAAGGAAGTGCAGTGCACAAAAGCCATAACTCCATTTTTGACAAAATACAGAGTTACTGCCTCTTTGATACTTTTCCTTGTCCGGAGCATAATTTAAAACGTAAACTGGTTGGAAATTCAAAACAAACCCTCATACAATGGTCAAGCACAATAAGAGGAAGTGCAGTGCATAAGAACTATAACTCTATCTTCAGTATTTATATAGAGTTATTGCCCTTTGTTCTTTTTTTCTTTGTCTTCTGGACTTATTACAGAGTATTCAATTAAACTTCATCAATGGCCAACCACATTGAAAGGAAATGCAACATACATGAACCCACAATTATCTTTAATTGCCCACAACCATAACTCTATGTTTCAATTCTTTTACAAGGTATTCTGTTACTAGTAACATCCTCATTTCCGAAGCAGACTTGTGGGGGTATTAATCACATTTAGTGATAGTTCTAGTTGATATCTAAAAAACTAGCAACTGACTCACCAATACAAGAGGCTGAACTGACTGTCCAGTCGCACAGGCTGAAGGTACATGGTTTAATGCAAGTCATTGCCACTACCATTCAGTGGGTTAACAAAAAATTTGAGCAGGATTGCAAAAAATTCCTTGAAATAATTGTTACTGTTATAAAGCAAACTTATAACGTACAACATTAAAGTGCTATATCTAACATTTACAGACTGTTTTGACACCATTGATGTTTCCGGAGATACGACGTAGATTCAGCGAGCTCCTTATACTATTCACAGATAATAAAGATAAAAGTCAGAAATTAGAGGACACTGTGAGAGAAATTGTGAAAGCTCAAAAATTCAGTAACATCTCCATGAACATGATGCATGTGTAAGTTATGACTTTAAATATAAGAGCTTTGGTTTTCATGGGTCTTGCATTAATTTAATGTTGTTTTGTTATGTGGAAAGGCGGAATAGATATTTGTCACTTTTGACATTCTTGTGGCTTCTTGAACTAACCATTACTGATGCTACATGAAGAAAGCATTTGCAACATTAGTATGACTCGAACCAAAGATCCATTTAGTTTTTAAACTTGGTTGTATAGAAAGCTTATAGCTTATTTGAATCTTTCTTGTATAGATATCATACATGGATTTATGGTAAAAAACAGACAGCTTAACTATAAAAAGGGTCTCCGTGAGTAGGGATTTAAGTTATGTTGCTTCATGAAACATGTAATATAATATTTTGTTGAAGAAATGTGTATTTTTATTGTGTATACTAGAAATCTTGATGAAACAGAATATCTTTATTTTGTCTTTGTGAACATGTAGCTTATCTTTAATATGAAAGAATTTAATAATAACTATGTTTTAGATCAAACTGATGGAAATCCTTATCGATGACATTGTTTTTAAGTACTGAAGTTATATGAAATATATAATTTATAATTATTTCTGTTGACTGTGAATTAATATATATTAATACATGTAGTTTGAACCAAAGGTAAACATCATGTATTAAAGTTATTGACTATCGTCACTTATATGAGGTCTACATATGAAATGAGCAAGTTTTTTATACCTGAAAATAATCCAGCTAGCTTAAATGAAAATAAAATGCCAACAGTTGGTGGTGCCATGTGTCTTAACTCATTTACAGAAGAAATACTTCAGATCTTCTGGTATGAGTAAATCTATAGTGTTGCAAAATGGCCTTTTGGTACTGGAATGTCTTGAAAGCCATGAAAATAAAATATTGACTTTATTCAGATATATTCAACTTTAATTTTTCTATTGTTATTTTATAGGCCAGATGAATCTAGTGTTGGGTTTAGAGTGTTACAGGAGTACATGGAAGAACCTGAAATACCACATTTATCCTTTGTCAGGTTCCAAAAGGTATGTCTTATGTTGTTTTTATCTAGATGTAACTTTAAAACAACCAACTAGCTTCAGGGTAGGAATTACCTTCATAGCAGAGTTGTTACATAATTTGTCTCCCACATAGTAATGGGCAAGTGAATAATCTTATGTGAAGGGGCTATAAATTGGCAAATTTTAGGCAGATCCTTTGCTGGCATAACATCCCTTTGTAGGGCTACCTCCTCTTCATATTGTTTCAGGTTACTGTACATTTAGGTTCCCATTGGCTGTCAAAAAGTCAACTACTTTTGGCTCAATTTTCATATCTTTCTCCTTGGAAATTTCATCGAGGTAAATTATCAACACTTTGTGCTTCAAAAAATTAACCCTTTATGGGCATGACTGGTATATGTCCTGGGTCCATACAAAAGCTGTTTTTTGGGCCTGACAAAAGGGCATGACTGACGACATGTTGGGGTACCGTATAAAAGCTGGGTTTTTTTGTGCCGGAAAAGGATGGATCCTCATTTAACATTGATTTCATCATCTTATTGTGACAGTTGCATTTCTTTCAATATGAACTTACAATAATCTTGCTCTTACGTGATGATATTTTTTTAAAAAAATTATTAAACTGTATAAGCAGGTAAAGAAGGAGTCAGTTTCTTTCATTTTAAAGAATTTTGAGTTTTCAAGTTTAAAGCAATCATATCTTGTATTATATGACATGTACATTGTAACAGCACGTTTGGAATAAATGATTTTATATTAATATTTTCATGCAGCTCATAAAGGACTTTAAAGGTATTGTCACCTTTGATTTCTGTGAAAGAAAAGTTCAGATTTGAACATTTAATATTTATCATAGTTCCTCCACTAGTCATTTACTAGCTTATATACCTCATTAAGCCTTTTACATAGCTACTATACTTGTACAGTTTGTAAGTTAACCTTTTTCCCCAACTTTAAAAAAAAAAAAAAAAACAACTGAAAAAAGCTCTTTTTTTCAAGTTTTTTTATGGTGTGTTATAGTTGCTAGATGTAATCATACATGTAGTTGTATTCTTTTTAGGTAATTATCATATTATCTTTTCTGTTTGTTGATATAGTTCTCAGATGACTGTAAATTTCATGCTTCATACCTTAAAACCAAATGTTTATATATCTTTCTTTATGATATTTTTCCTCCTTGTTCAATGAAAATAATGTATTACAGGTTAAACTCTATATATCTATGTAGATATATCGCAAGACTGATTTTGGTTGTACACCTCCACCACCTACATGTATTTCCTACACCAACCACCCCAGTTTCTTTATCTTTGTTGTTCTAAAACTTACAATTTGACCTTTGAATCCAGATTATTTCCAGTGTCCTAAAATTTTGGTTTAGCAAGGAAATTTTTAGTAATCGTTTGTTATGACCATATAGTCTATAATGTTAGATGTTAAGCTCAAGAAACAAAAAATGATGATGTGTCAGACACTTGTCATTATGAAGTTTTATAGAAGAACTGACACAAAACTGATTAACATTTCTAATATTGTCTTGTAAGAGAAAGCTAAAATTGTTCAATTTTTCATATCCGACTTGTTTAGCTTTAGCATTGATTCATAAAGTCCTATGTAACAGACACTAAATTTTTTGATGAGTTTAAAGAAGTGTCTAGAGCGTTTTGTGAACAGATATATGATTTTTTTGAAAATCTAGTAAAATCTTCTAATATTTCATTGTTCAAGTAATCCAAGTGCAATCTTCTGTATCAATGTAATCTTAATATTAAACTTTATTTTACTGACAGGGTGAAGTGTTTAATTTTGATGCTGTTGATGCTGACATGGCATCATTGTCAAACTGGCTGTCCAACATTCATAAAGGTGCTGTACAACCATCAAGTAAGTATAATTTAACACATATCTGTCTATAAAACCAAATTTCTTTCAAATACTATATAGGTACACACATTGAAACTATCTCGTTGTCTTAGTTGTCTTAGCTCTCTCTTTAATGTATACCTGCTGAAATTCAGTAATCGTAAACGATTTTAATGCAGTATAATGTAGATGTACATGTATGTATAAAATTATTCTATTATTTTTTTGCATCCAATAAAGACTTATAATTGAAATATAAAAATTAAAACAAATAAACTTTATTATAATCATGTTGTTTTCATATTCTTATGGTGATATAAGGGGAGAGATTTAACTAAAACTATCTGTTATCTGATTCAAAATTTGCTAAAAAATAACAATCAAAGGCTAAGCACAGAAGGCGCTGAATTTGTTTGGGTCTCAGAATATCAGAAAGGTGAAGGTTGTGAGATTATAAACCAATTTGTTTTTGTATAGTGCCACCAATGCTTTCCAGCGTTTTAATTGTAGTAAGTTGGCTATAAGACTAATTGCAACACTGATATTCAATTCAATGTTTATTTGACTTAAACAATTTAAAAAAAAAAAATGAATTGCCTTAACTCGGATTTGAACTCAAGACCTCTCGCTTCCTAAGCGAGCTCGCAAACGGTGAAGTTATATGTTAACGGTCTGAAGAAAACCATATTATTCTAAATTATGGTTTGTAACCCTTATTATTGTTGTTTAACACAGATGTAAATAATCAAGGAGCTTACTATAAGCATGTATATCTATAAAGACTAAAACAATATTAGAAATTTTCGACCATTCGGGAACTATTTGTTTGAAAATTAATGCGCCTGTCATTTGACCATCTTTAAGCAGTGATCTCCCCTGAATTTTTCGGCGTTAGTGTACATATAAAGGGAAGTAACCGCTTCAAAAAAGCGGACTACTTTCGGCATTTGCAATTAACAGCATCAGAGTCTGAAATTTCGCTACCATTATTTGTTTGATCTGTCGACCCAAACAAATAAAACCTATATAAGAATGAACAATAAAATGTTTCATAACGGAACATTCAATAGCTGATCAATGATTTTGCATGTGCATCACCAGCTTTTTCTGGTAATTTTCTAACATTAATCAATCAAGGTACTTTAATATCCATTGAGACTAATAAAACCAAACAGACAGCCTCATATGTAGCTTTATACCCTTTCAATAATACCAGTATGATTGTACAAGGCTCATTTTTAACGAGCTTATTCTTATACATTGTACATATAGTAACTAGTCAGTTTTGAACAGAATCTAAAATATTTAAGAAGTTTATAGCTTATTCTAGAATTATCATTGATGCATAGATTTTATTTTCTGCAGCATCTTTGCATGAGGAGGAGTGGAAACCAAGGAACAAAGGATTTGAATATCTGAAGATTATTGAGTGGGAAAAAAGAAATCCAGCTCAAGTAGGGTTTAAACCTGATGATACACCTGTTGGTAAGTGTTGTTGACCTAAATAGTTGACCTAAAAATCTGATGTTGGTAATAAGCACACATGTTTTTTTTTGTTTCTTTTTTGTAAGTTTGTTTGTTTACTGTAGTATTTCTTAGTATTTCAGTAATTCAGAAGTAAACTATGGAGTATTCTTTGAATATGTACTTGTACTAGTGCTAATATGTCTCCACCAAATTAAGGGGTGTCCAAATGGTTACGGTTGTTGACTTCAAACCACTTATGCCACACACCGCTGTGGGTTCAAATCTTAAAAGAGACTAGATTTTTTCATGCAGCTAGCCTATCAATTTTATGCCTAAAATAATGCACAGGAGCACCTGAGGTCTGGAAAGTTAACATCAAATTAAAAGACTGCATTTATTTACTGTATACCAGCTAATGAGGGCTCATATACAGTATTTCTTTTTACTTTTCTGTAAACATGTATAACATGTATAAGCTCCTCGTTGGGTTTTACTACAAAATTAGATTTTTTTTTTACAAGAAATGCTACACAGGCTTAAAGAAAGCTGATTATTAGTCCCCTACCGGTTTAACCGGAGGGGACTTTAGGTTTACCCTCCGTCCGTCTGTCTGTCTGTCCGTCTGTCTGTCAGTCCGTCAGTCCGTCCGTCCACAAAACTGGATCCCGCGATAACGCTAAAAGTACTGAAAATATTTTTATGAAACTTGATATATGGATAGATGGCAGTATGGAGATTATGCACGTCTTTTCTTTTTCTTCCTATGTTGAAAATTCTGGTTGCTATGGCAACAAATAGTCTGAAAATATGGCAAATTTAACACATAAACTGGATCCAGTGATAACTCAAAAAGTACTGAAAATATTTTTATGAAACTTGAAATATGGGTAGATGGCAGTCTGGAGATTATGCACATCTTTTTCTTATCTTCCTATGTTGAAAATTCTGGTTGCTATGGCAACAAATAGCCTGAATTTCAAGATTTCTGATTTAAATTTTTCAGCCTTTTCACTATATGTTCTTTATTTCTTAAGGTGTTTACTTCAAACTTTAAAATATAAGTTTCTGGTCATCAACCACATCATATGTGACAAGGTTTATAACTCTAGCAAAAAAATTATCAGTATTACCTCCCTTGAACTTAGATTTTTTAGGGGAAAAAATGTTGTCTTTTTTAAATAACTTCTTTATTTCCTAATGTATCTACTTCAAACTTCATATATATGTTTCTTATTATCACTCGACATTTTTTAGAAGGTTAAATACTCTAGCAAGACTATTTCCAGAATTATGTCCCCCTTGAACTTAGATTTTTTTCGAGAAACTGGTATTTTCACTCCAACTTCTTCATTCCTTATAGGATTTACTTTAAAATCCCACATCGTAATAATATGACAAGGTTGTATAAACATAATTTCCTTACTAAGCATGGAAACTTAACACATTACTGTGATATAGACAAACTTATTTTATTATGTTTTGTGGTCGATATTTTCAAATACAGACTTCATCCTCAAATTCATTATAAATGGCAATACACAGGAGTGTATGACAATTGAAGAACTTTTTGAGGGACCGGTAGGGGACTACTGTATTGCTCGCAATACTATCAAATGCTTGTTGTCTCTAGTTTGGACGGTCTGCACTGGTTGTATTATGTCAGTACATATTTTGACATCTTTTTCCAAAATGATATATGGTTTTGTCTGGATGGAAAGATGGACTGGTCAGTATATTATATTTAACATGGTTAGGATAAATATGATCCCAGTATAGCTCCAAACCCTGAAACCAAATTTATGCAAATACATTCACCCCTTGACCGGTGCTCCTCTTGTATGTCATTGTCAGCATTACTTAAAAATATCACTTTAAAACTATTAAATATGATTTATCATATTATTGTACCATATTTTCTGCAGTGAAATATACAGCAGTAAAGGTTTTGATATTTTTATTCTAATGGTTTATATTTATATTAGATGCTGTTGAAGACAATGAGACTGATGAAACTGAGGATGAAGCAGACGACAGTTCCAGCAATGATGAGACAGAGCATTTAAAGGGATATCATCATCATGTATTCCGTGGTAGAAGCAGTCATCTTCCAGTTCATTCTCATAGGATGAAGAAGGGAGATCACTCTGAGGAAAATATTCAGAAAAAGGAAGGGGTTATGGAACATGAAAATCAAGAAACATCTTCAGATAAAAGTCATGAGCATACTGAGCTGTGATTTTTATATGATATAGATATTGATATTTGTGTCATTACATCTCTTTTAAATTGTAGAAATAGAGAATTTGTTAAGCACATCAAATTCTGGTTAATTATTTTTTTGTAAACAGATTCATTTTGCAGCAATATTTAAAAGAAAACATAAGTATAATACCCATAAGTATATGTTTATAACTTTGTTATTGTTTTTTGAGTTTGCTAATAATTTTTATGTATTTCTGTGTTAATAGAATATGCTTCAGCTGAAAAATGCTGCCATTATTGTTATTATCTTTACTTATAAATAATATTCTTGTAATTTTTTTATGCTTTTGATAATTTATACTTTACCTTGCCATAATAGCTTTATACATTTTTCATAACTTTGTAACATAGTTCTATTACAATCTATTTGCTTATAACATGGGTTCACTTATACATCAGATATTATTTGTTTATAAGTTGATGTATAGCAGTGCCACTCATAGCACTTTGTGTTTGCACCTTTGGGGTATGAAAAATTTATATGATTGCATTTTCCGCTTCATTGATTTTTGTCAGAGTTATGGCCCTTTAATGTTTTTAATTTTTAAAATTTGTCCCTACTACTCCTCTTACACCACTAATGCAATTTCAATGAACTTGAACGGATTGATTGGTAGCTCAAGTTCTTGTGCGAATTACACAGTTTTTTAGGTTGAATAATTTTTGGCTGAGTTATGGCTATCATGAGGCACCACATGTGATCACTGATCACTCTTGTTTGAATTTTCATACATGTGAACTCTCCCACTTTAAGCGCTTACATGTGAGGAAGCCATCCAGCTGTCTTACCGAAGGTCGGTGGTTCTACCCAGGTGCCCGCTCGTGCCTGAAATAATGCCTGGAGGGGCACCTGGGGTCTTCCTCCACCAATAAAAGCTGGGAAAAAATCAACGAAAAAATCTGTGGGACGCTCTAGGATGGTCTGACTTGAGTGTGTTGTCGCCCATATGGGCTTTCCGGTGGCAACCTTAAATAAACGCATTAAAAAAAACCACTTTAAGAGACTCCCACTTTCTGCAGCCATATTTTCAAAGATTTTTCTTAAAATAAGGGGTATTTTCACAAATTAGATTTTTTTTGATCTCAGAACTTCCTTCCTTGTTTATTGCAAATTTTAAAATCTCCCTCTTTTCCCACTTGATCATCGAAAAAAGGAGACATGTATGAATTTTATGAATTCTTATTTCACACCATAATACTATAATTACAACTCTGGCTGCATAATGGAGCATGTAGGCTTTGTCTTATTTCAGATTTATATTATAATCACATTTTGTTGCCTTAATTAATAAGAGAAAATTGTAAGAGCATATTAATTACATAGTACATATGCTCATGTTTCATGTAGATCAAATAATTTAAATGGTAAAATTTTTTGGTTTGTTTCATTTACCGATTTCATTTGGCATGCTTGTTGCTTAATTCATTAATGTAAAGCCTAAATTTTAACGTGTTCGCATAGCAACTCACTTAAGAATTCTAAATGTGCATTCATTCATAATATTGAATATTTCATTTGTTAAAATTTAAATAATCATGTTAAATAGATTTTAAAGCTAACAGATGCATCAGAAAAAGAAATTTTTCTTTCTTTTATTCCCATTATAACAAGATTGAATACTTTCCATTATTTTTATCACCAGTGAAATTTTACTGTCATATTTATTTTATAAAATCATTATTTTGTTAGATTTTACAAATTTTAGAATACAAAATATTTTTTGTTACAAAAATCTAATTGTTTTAAATGTTTTGAATATGGAGGTATTTCTCTTTGTTTATAGGAATATATATTTTGCTATTTTAACTTCACACTATAGTACCATTTTTACGATAACAGAATTTTTGTTATAAAAAAATGTTTGTTTATTAATTGTTTATTAATAAATTCTTCAAAGATATTTGCATGTTATATTCTGTTACTGTAGCTTTGTATTTGGCAATATATACTTACATTTTGCTTAAATGTTATTTTTTGATGCTGCCATAATGTTTTATATTATTCATAATATATATGAATTATTAGGCAATAACAGTTGGTATTTACACAAATGATTTGTTTTATATTTACATACTTTTACACATACATGTATATTATTTTTTCACCAGAAAGATCTTATTTTTACATGAATCATTCCATTATCAAGGCATATCTGTTGTGAAGGGTTTATACCATTAATATTTTAATTGCTTTTTCCACCTCTAAGTAGTTATCTTATCCTGCTTTGAGTTTAGAACCTTGATATTTTAATGGGTTTCAAATAAATTTAAGCAGATGACAGTATAAATTCTAGTCAGACTGCAAGTTTTGCCTAACTTTATACAGGCAGTAGAGGCATATGTGCCACTAGCGTACAATGCTTTTAATCATCATATAATCGCCTAACTGAAGTACATACAATATACACATGTATTATTGTGAGAAATAACTGTTATTTATGTAGAGTAATTTGTTACTCTATTTATTCAATTTATTATATATTTGAAAAAATAAACAGAAAATATTGCACTGGTTGATGGGTTGTAGCACAGTTAGTTTATACATATCTAGCTAAGTCACAGTTATATCAATCTACCTGTAGGAGATGATATGTTCTTGTGTTTGTTGAATGATTGAGAGTCCGTGTTATGGTTATTAATCAGGTCATGTTGTACTTTAAATCTGGTGTATGTTTCTTCTTTATCTATGGTACAAATATAATGCTGCTTTTACTTCTTGTGTATTTTACATTAAGGCAAGCATTGGGAAAACAGTTTGTCAAAGGGTTTCTGTACAGCTTCTAGAGATTCTACAACTTCTAGAAATAGGTTACCTTTTATATCAATATTTCATTCTCGTAAAACTTTGACACAAAACTTTATATCTAAATATGTGTATTTCATTATTGATGATATATGTAACATACAGGTTAGTTGTGACATATTTGTATGAAACATGCAATATTTTATCTTGCCTCAGTCAAAGTATATTTATTCTGTGGTGATGAGATCTGAAAAATAAACGTAATGAAAATACATGGTTGATTTTCTTCTTTCTTTCTGTCATCTGTACACCCAGAGACATAGATAACAGAGATAGGCAACTTCCTAACCAGTTAAAATATTAGCGTTCCTGCTAAACTTAAAACTTGTAGCAAGTAAAACTTATTAACCAGATATCAAAATCAGGAAAATAATACATTTTCTGAAAGCTTATGCATTTGTCTATAGCTGCAGGTAAAAATATTTACAGTTCCCATTTAAATAAATGATACATCAATTTTTAAGAGCACTACCTATTAATTGTTGTTACAAAACTTCATTTGACAAAAAACTGGCTCAGTGTGTATGTTCTGCTATGTTTTTCTAAGTGAAAGGCATGGAAAGTTGCCAATATTTCAACATGCAGCAATAGATAAAAGATTTACCTTTCAAATGGTATATAATATTAAAGGATCAAATGTACATCCATTAAGTTTTATTTGCTACAAATTGCCGAAATTTTCACTTTTTGATAGGCATGAGTGATATTTCAATGGAGTATATAGGAGCTGCTTATCTCTGTTATCTATGTCTCTGGTATACCTAACCAAGTTATCCAGCTGTATGTTGAAGACTCGATGATAGCATTAAGGTGTAGTTCAACCAAACCTCTTTTAAATGACACTTCTAAATAAGGGCCACAAAAAGAGATTTGATCCCATTTATGCCAGCAAGTTGTTCTATAAGGGTCATATACCTGTACAAATGTATGTAGTGCAAATATATGTTTTAAAAGATAGTCTGTTATCAAAGTCCATCAAAGAGGCTTTTTTATATTTTAAAAAAATTGTACTAAAGTCGTAAATACAAGGTTTCATTTTGAAACTTAAGAACAGCTTAATTGGTAATTTTTTAGGGTTTCTTTGCAATTTGAAACAAAATTACCAACTTGTCATTAAAAATGGTGTATACATCACAGCTGTAATAAAAGCCATGTAAACAAGTGTATATCACGAGCAATCCATTCTGTACATCAGCAGAACTTAGAGAGCCCAAGATTATGTGGTACAGTATGTTTATTTAAACTTGTCATTGGAAACTCGCTCCACAAAACTGCAATTTTTTTTAATTTTTGTATTAATAAAAGGATATCCTGCAACTTGTCATTGGAAACCCATAATGGGTGATTCACTCCACAAAACTGCAATTTTTTTAATGTTTGTATTAATAAATAGAGGATATTTGTTTAGTTCAGTGTAAGATCTGAATATATTTCACCGAGTGAGCACCAAAAGGTATATTTCACGAGTGGCGCAGCATCTACATGTAAATCTAAAGGGGTACAAATCAAATGTGCCAAATTGGAGTGTTACCAAGGTACCAGTTAGACTTTGTGTTCATTTGGTCATGAATAGGATTTAGTAGACAACCTTTCTTGACGAAGTTCATTTGTGTGAAAGGTCAAGGTCAAAGTGACACCGATATCTTATGAAGTAATAAGCCTAAATTCAAAATTAAGCTGAAAAAAAAACATATATTAGTCTTTGTTCTGATTAGTTAGTATATATAAAGATGCTGAATCTAAATTATTACATTGAGTACGAAAATTTTGAGAACGAATGGGAAACAGGATCATTTACATGTGAATAAATTAAGGGTATCACCGTACAATTGTAAACAGTTTTGCAGACAAGGCACATTTTAATATTTTTTATTCAATAACCTAAAATGACAAGCTTCATAACTTTAATAACTGATGCAAAATGCAGACAACTTCACCGGGTGATAAAATCAGGTGGAGAAAAATATCTTTGCTTTACCAGGGTGACGTCTGCTTGGATCGTGTGTGTGACTGATGGGGTGTCACTGTGGAAAGTTGATTTAGATGAAGAAGAGACGGATGCTCTGAGAGATTTGGCTGGTATCAATGCCATGGAAGCATTCCTTACGCGCTTCAGGTTATTATTTAGCGTTATTCAATAGATCAATACGGGGGGTATAAATGCTATGCTTTTATTCTAAAAAAAAACAAAAAAACATGCTCCCTATGTGTCATATCTTGGACAAATGATTAAGTCCCAGGTAAAAGGCAAGACCAAGTAAATTTACTGTGGAAAGTAAAAATGCAAGTGATTTACTGTGAAAATCATCAAGCATTCTACTTGTCCAGTGCCGTTCTTTGTAGATTATATGGATAATTTTTAAACCGTATTTATTTATATATTCTATATGAAACAACAGAAAATTCTTTTTCACATTGTCTCACAGTTATTTGACATTTAACCATGTAATATTCATTATTAGAAAGTGGTCTTTTTGGGATATATCTACTAAATAGTCATTTTTTATTTATTATTTATTTTTATTTATTTTTAATAAAAAAAATAAAAAAATAAAAAAAACCATGTAATATTCATTATTAGAAAGTGGTCTTTTTGGGATATATCTACTAAATAGTCTTACTCCAAATAAATGTTGTTCTCCATTTTCTTACATTTTCCATATGCTTTGTTGTTAGACATGTTTGATTTTATATTAACATTAATGATTACAATTGTCTTACTAATCCTTAATTCTGTTATGTGTTTATTTGACAGGAATGGATTTCACAGTGGAGATATTAATGTAGCTATGGTTGGAAATAAAGTAACTCTTACTGTTGGCAAAGGCTCCACATCAGTCAATGTAGATTTATATGAAGCAAAGGCTGCTGAGAAAAAATCAGAGATGCAAAATGTTTTATTCAGACTTGCTGAAACATCAACAAAGTTAGATGCTGATTTAGACAAAGCTAACCAGACCATTGATACATTAAAGGCACAAAAGGGAACAGGCGCAGCTCAGGCATTCATGGATCTTGGACCCAAGAAAGGACTTAATCAGGCAAAAGCTAAACCCAGCAAAGCTGGAATGAGTGTACTTAACCCAACCAGCAAGAAACGTAAAGCAGCACATGGTGTTGTGTTTGACTAATCATGTAATTACACAATTATACAATGTTTAGTTAGTACTAATGTTAAATCAATTAAGTAGCTTCTTTGATTTTAGAAATAGATTTAGTTTATATCTAAATCTTTTCTGTACGTACTAATTGCATATTAATTGCCTTGGAAAACAGGCTAATATAGACAGAACAGCTTAGTGTCTAGATACAAAACAAAAGTGTTGACCATAGTTTGAAGTTATTGCCTCAAATTTGTCGATTTGTTTTTGTTAAGAATTATTAATGAAACAAGGTTCATATTATATTTTTTAATGCATCAATTAGAGGAGACCGTTACAGTGCACAAGTATCTTTGTATATACTACATTGCAAACAATGTTGCATAAAATAAAAACGTTTCATCCATAGTTATTATTTCGTCATGTTAAGTTACTGATAATCAGCCTAAGATAAAACTTCCAATCCTTGTACATTATTTATTTAAACTACTATACTTTATGAAAAATGTTGGAAAACTAATCTGTTAAAAAACAACAAGAATAAATAATCAATCTCTCTTAAAGTGTATAAAGCTATATATATGATGCAAAAATTATTGTTTAGATTTTAGAATATAATTTAGAATACTTCCAAAATGTTTGTATGAAATAAAAATGGCAATAAATAGCAAAATATTTTGTTCCGGAACATTTTATTCATGTTTATGTACATTTTTCATTTTATTTTGTTCTTTTTACTTTCAACAGCATTTTTTTGGCATGACAACCTTTTACTTCTGTAAGTTCAGCAAACTGAGCTTTTCACATCAAAGCATTTGTTCCTTTGCAGTACCAGGAGGAGCACTTGCTATGTAAAACACATCGCAGAAAAATTTAATTTACTTTATCCCATATTGAAAGATATTGTTTTAGATGATTAGTAGGTAAAGTAACCTTCATATTCAATACTACTGATACTTTATTGGGATAATACTGCATGTACTACTGATACATTATAATTTATTGTAACAAAGAAGTTGATAATAAGATGTTAATCAAAACTGCCATGTTTCCCTTTTTTCATAGTCTATATAACAAAGAAACAATTTATTTCTTTTTACTGTTTTAATCACAAAAAATCACCATAATTCACAAAAATATAACAGCAACAATAAAACTACTTTGTCATGGATGGAAACTAATATTCTTGAATGAGCTATACAATAATAGTAATAGTCAACAACAAACAGTAAGAAATCTTTTTAAATAAATGGCATACATGCATTTGTATCAAATTAAAGCTCCTGAATAAACATGTTCCCTTAAAATTATAATAAAATGCTAATTAATATCTAGGCTGTCTAGTCAATTCTTGCAATAGCAGGCCTTATACCATCATTCTTATTTTTCAACATCAAAGAAATTTTAACAATATGGCAGAAACTCGTAAAGGATTCATTTATATGTTATTATATCGAGACACTTTCCAGCAAGAAAATTTGTGAAGTTTTCTTTACATAATTACAGGAAAAAAGGATCCTTTATCCAAGGACCATGTTTTTTTGTTTTGTTTTATTTAATTTAGATTATTGAAACAATTCTGATGGCATTCTGTCAAAATCTGATGAATAGCTTTGGCAAGATTGTTATTGATATTTTCCTTTTGGTTGCCATGGCATGGAGATCTATAATATATACAGTCCACTCCCGACACAACAAGATCGTGGTTACTTCCCCTGGTTCCTCATTATAACCGGGTCTCATTATAACCGGGACAGAACATGAGAAATCAGACACCGTCGTGCTTCATTTATATCTACTTTGGGTTTCACGTACATCCTTTCTGAAGAGCACAAGGGACCTGCTCTTTAGATTTTATTACCCTTAGACTTTTGTGTTTAATTATATATATAACTGCTAGTAAGCTATCATGAAATTAAAACAAAACATTTAAAAAACACAACTGTAATTATACATACATCCATTTTAAATTTCGTTATCAAAATTTATGCCGAGTATTTCTCGGAAACACCCAATAACATTGCAATAAATTATCCATTTCATTTGTGTTAATCAAGAAATTATTTTCTTTATAAAATTTCATCACTTATAGAATAATTTAGTCCAGAGCACTGACAAAACAAGAGTGGCACATCTAATTGCTAATTGCTAAATAAATGCTTAGTTAATTGAGGATCGTTTTCTCAAGGAGACAATTTACTGATGCAGAGGACCTGCCAATGGAGTGACCTCAGTAAAATGTGAGAAAATATGCATGTGACTGTGAATATATTATGTTGTAACAGATATTTTGCTTAAATCAATCTCATTATAAATGGTATAAAATGAATAAAAATTGAAGGGAAAATTCTGGGACACAGCAAAATGTTAGTTTTAAGCGGTACCTAGTAAAAATGGTATAAAATGAAAGGAAAATATAAGGAAAAAGGCCGGGGACACAGTAGAATGTACGTTGTAAGCGGTATCTTGTTATAAGTGGAGTAGACTGTAATTACAACAACTTTATTAAATTTGCAATCACTCAAGGACTATGTCTGAAGATTTATCAATGTTGACCAAAAAGTTTCAATGTTTTTAAAAGAAATGTGTGTGATAGGTCAACCAAACAAGTGAAAGATTACAGACATTGAGTGATCTTGAGCATACTATGAACCTATAAATCGGCTATACTAATCACAGAAAATAAAAAATATCTACAAATATTACCGGTATATCACTCTTTTCTATAAACAAAACATCAACTTATTTAGTTTATTTACAACTAACAAAATCAAAGTTACATGATATCTCTATGAATAATCATATTTAAGTCATCTTTGTTAACATGATTATCATTAGTTTCCAAAAACAAAATTTACAATTTCCATATATACAGTCTGTTATTATGAATTCAAAAATTGAATCTGTCTTAAAAGGATGATTATAATTAGTTATTCTCAGAAATAAAATAGTAAATGTATTCATATTTATTTCATTTCCTTGAGTTATCAGTGACATGAAAAATTGAAATAATTTCAGCAACAGCCTTCTGATTCCCTGGTATGTTTTCTTATACTCTCACAAGCAACAGGTAATAAGATTTAATTATGGTATAGTATAATAGTGTAGTATTTGATGAAGCATATTGTGCAAAAATATATAACTGAGCCGCGCCATGACAAAACCAAAAGAGTGCGTGTGCGACCAGCATGGATCCAGACCAGCCTGCTCATCTGCGCAGTCTGATCAGGATCCATGCTGTTCGCTATCATTTTCTCTACTTGTAATAGTGTTTGTAAGCGAACAGCATGGATCCTGACTGCTCGAATGCGCAGGCTAGTCTGGGTCCATGCTGGACGCAAATGCACAATTTTGTTTTTGTCATGGCGCAGCTCATATAATGATAAAAACAAGCTTTACATGTTTATGGATATATCCCAGCATTCCAACTGCCAATTTTTCTACAAGTGTATGTTGATTTTATCCATGAAATATGGATAAGGAATTAAGTAGTTATTGAATATTCAAATCTCATAGATTCTTCAACAAATCAAAACAAAAGACTTCAGAAAACACAAAATACATTCTAATATAATTTGTGGAATTATATTGACTTTTGGACGGACATATTGAATGTTTTTTGACTACAAATCTTACTTGTTACAATATTTCAAAGTATGGCAATCTAAATATTGTATAAAATTAAAAGTGATAAATATGCAGACAATGCTATTCACATTCTAAGAAAAATAATAAAGAATAAAATAACCAGTGTTTAACCCACAATAGAATTTAAATGCATTTAAGTCTATGTAAAAAAGCCCCTGAAATGAATGTAAAAGCATAAATATACAAAATAATCAGTAACATAGAAACAAATATTAAACAAGAGTGTCAATTTGTCAATAAATATATCCCTCACAAGTGGTCTTTCTCACAATAGTGAACAATAACATTAAAATTAGACAATTTTTTATGAATAAATGATCAATAATTTTCAAATTCGTAACTGACCCAATAACATGTTCTTGGCCAAAAGAAACTGAAATTTTGTGCATACCACTAAGCGTCACAATGTTGAACATTTATGCCAACTGCCAAGTTATATAAAAATTTCTAATGTTATGTAGAAGCTTAACTATGGACAAGTGTTTCCCTCTGACCTCTATATGTGACCTTGAACTTTGACTTACTATGCATCATGTGTGCAACACTATGTCTCATAGTGGTGAACATTTGTATCAATTACTACTTAAGTCCATACATGCATGTAGAAAGTAATTATGCTCCAAACAAAACTGGACAATTCATCATCTCTGGTGACCTTGACCTTGCAAATGTTTGGCAAGACTCAATTTCATTACAGTGAATATTTTTAATATAATCCCTCAATTCAAGGTAACACAAATTTTCATCAGACTTTAGACGTCTAAGTCTGCCCTTGACCTTGGCCACAGGAACCTAAATTTTGCAAGCAACACACAACATAAAGTGGTAAACATATGTGCCAAAACACATTGACCTTTGACCTGGTTCAGACACATGTCTCATGGTGGTGAACATTGGTATAAAGTAATACTAAGATCCATCCATGTCATGTCTGTGGATTTGCTACAGGCAAAACCTTAATAATTCATCATCTCTGGTGACCTTGGCCTTGAATATATTGACCTAGATTATGCTGGCAAGACTTATAATTGTGAATATTTTTTATAAAATCTCACAATTAAATTCTACCAAAATATCCATACAAACATTTTCATATTTTTATCTGACATTTGACTGCAAAGACTGACCTTGACTTCAGGGACCTGAAATTTGCTAATGACACACTGCCTAATGATGGTGAACAGTTTGTGCCAAGATGTACTGAAATATCTCAATTCATGTAGAAAAATTGCCGAGGATAAGCATTTTCCCTTGACCTCTAGTGTAATCTTCACTTTTTACAAAGAGGTTTGGTTCATGCACATGACTATGTTTCATGATGGTGAACATTTGTATAAACTAATACTAAACTCCCTTCATGCATATAGAAGATATGCTCCTGGATAAGCCCACCAGGGGCTAAAAAAAGGTGTACAAAACATGCAGACATCAATGTACCGACACAAGTTTCAAATATGATTTCGTCAGAGGTATACATAAATAACAAGAGAAGTGGGACAGTGTACTTAACTATTCTCAGTGCTTGATGGTAAAACAACAGCCTGGATTATCTAGAATGTTCTTAGTTCAAAAAGGGCCATGATTCTGTCAAAACTTATGTTAGAGTTATTGGTCTTAAATATGGACCTCCTACTAAGCTCCCAAGAGTATGTGAGGTTTAAACCCATTCCCTTCAGTAGTTTTTACAAGCTTGCACACAAAAAACTTAACCAAAGTATGACGCAGACACCTAGGTGAGCACAATAGATCTTTCTATTCATTGAAAAGTCATGCTAAAAAAATTCAATGTCATAATAAGTCAATAATAATGTACATGTGTAATGCCAAATTTCTGTTTATCTGATGAGATCAAAATGAGGAAAAAGAAGTTAAATGATATGCACCATAGATACACTGTATTACACACAAAACCATAATGAAAAAATAGTTAGAAATATTTAACCATTTTGCACTATTTCTTGCAAAAATTAACAATTCTTTGCATACATAATGCCAAAATCATTACCCTGTATTCTCCCATACCACCAACAAGTTTCAAAAATATTTAAGCATTCTGTCGCTATTTCTTGCTGAAATTAACAATCTTTTACATACTTAATGCCAAAATTTTCCCAGATTCAAAACAAGAAGATAAAACAAGAGGGCCATGATGGCCCTGAAATCGCTCACCTTTATATAGGCCCCCGTGGGCAGGGCCAATTTTAACCCACGGGCTTTATTTGAACAAACTTGGTAGACACCCATTTGAAGATGTTTCATGATATATATCTAAGCTCTAGCTGTTAGAAGTTTTTACTATACACATAGGGCTTTTATTTGAACAAACTTGGTAGTCACTCACTATAATCTTAGTATCTAAACTCTAGCTCTTTGGGTTTTTAAAAAGATTTTTTAAGTTTTTACTATATACATATAAGGAAAATCAATGATCCCCGGGGCGTAGCCAATTTTGACCCCAGGGCCCTATTTGAACAAAAATGGTAGACACCCATTAGAAGATGTTTCATGCTAAAAATCTTAGCTCTAGCTCTTAGGGTTTTTTTAAAAGAAATTTTTTAAGTTTTTACTATATACATAAAGGGAAAAACAATGATCCCCGGGGCGGGGCCAATTTTGACCCCAGGGCATTTATTTGAACAAACTTGGTAGACACTGACTAGATGATGTTTCATGCCAAATATTTAAACTCTAGCTCTTTCCGTTTTCTAAAAGAAGATAGTTTAAGTTTTTTCTTTTGGTTGCCATGGCAACCAGAGTTCTGCTTGGAATTAAATTCTTTGAACAATTTTTAAAGTTGACTACCAAAGGAACATTTCTGTGAAGTTTGGATGAAATTGGCTTTGCCGTTTATGAGGAGATGTCGTTTAATGTGAAAGTTTACGAACGCACAGACGCCGGACGGATGGATGGACGAAAAGTGATCACAAAAGCTCACCATGTCACTTTGTGACAGGTGAGCTAAAAAGTGTACATGATGTATTTGACAACTGGTTTAATATAAACAGTCATGTCATGTTTAACAGAATTTTGTACTATGAATATAAAAAGCTTACTTTGAAGCATAAACAAATGTGTAAAAGAAAACTTGAAATGGTAGTTTGAAAGGGCTAAAAAAACTGTTTTCTGCAAATAATATATAATAAGAACAATTCCTTCTTAAAATAAGAAAACATATTTCATGTTATCGATCATTTAAAAGACTTTGTTTAAAAAGAGTGACAGTAAATTTTCAATGCCTAAAACTTCATGTTCGTAGTCGTGCACGACAAAAGGCAAGTTTGAAATCTATTTCCCTAAAAAACTTATCCAAAAGCTACAGTTCAACCATGTACCAAATAAGATGGTAATTATTACCAATAGTACTATAGTATTAGTAGATGAAGTAATGATGGTAAAATGATGTATGATAACAATGACAATGAAGAATTACCAGTGAACCAACCTATCTTTTATGTAACTGATATTCTCACAATGAGATGATATGATGCACTTAGCCCCCCCCCCACCACCCATGACTCATTTACCCTTCCCCCACCTCCACCCATGATTCAAACCTTTAACTGTTATGGCCTTTAAATTCATCAGATCTATTCATTCTTGGTCCTCATTTATTGGATGTCTTGAAAAATCTTGAATAAGAAAAAACCCGGGGTTGATTTAAGACACTTGCATTGTAAACCTCTTTAAAACAGCATGCTGCTACTGTGGTACTTTGCGTATATCTAAGTATACAATTTACAGTTCCACATTGATTGTTATTTCCTTTCTAACTCTACTTCCACATAATTTTTTCCTAACATAGACACCACACATTGTAAGTCCACCACAACAGGTTAATATACCAGACAGGTACATGGCAAGATCCTCGTCTCCATACATATCAATGAGTAAACCTGTAAAACAAGAAGTAAGTATTACATTCACATGTTTCACAGTAAAGGGCTTTGTCAATTTCAAAGTGAAAGGCTAAGAATAAGTTGGAAATAATTGCCCTAACTTATTCATACATGTATTGTTTATATGAGAGCTGCCCATTCAATTTTATTCATTGAGAACCTAAGGTGCCTACGTGCATTACTTAAGACATAAAGTAGAACCACCAACATTTTGACACCAACTTTGACTTAAGTTTAACAAAAATTTGTAACAGAGTTACCAACGTCCCCCGCCTCGGGGAAGTTTTATATGAAGCATAAAATTGTGCCATTTCAAACGATTGAGGTATGGATTTCAGGACTTTCAGATCAAAATTATAATCAATGCTAGATCTGCAAATGCAACAATAAATTTATTAAAGAAATACTAGTAAAATGAAACATGGAATTTAAAATTCTATCATGTTAACCTTTGAACTCTAAGTGTGACCTTGACCTTGGAGGTAGGGGTGCAGGTGTTGTACATGACATATCGTCTTAGTAATATTACTATTTGTGCCAAGTATTTTCAAAATCCCTTTAACTATGTAGAAGTTATAGTCTTATAGATCAGACACAAAATATACCCTATAACAGACTATGTCAATCTTTAACCTTTAAGTGTGACCTTGGAGGTAAGGACCCATGTTTTGCGCCTGACATATCATCTTATTATTGTGATTATTTGTGCAAAGTATTTTTAAAATCCCAGGTTATGGAGTGGACAAAAAATATACCCTACAACAGACTATGTAAATCTTTGACCTCTATATGTGACCTTGACCTTGGAGGTAGGGACACATGTGTTATGCATGACATATCATCTTATCATTGTGACTATTTGTGCCTAGTTATTTCAAAATCCTGAAGAAGTTCTAGATCAGACACAAAATATACCCTAAAACAGACTATGTTAACTTTTGACCTCTAAGTGTGACCTTGAACTTGGAGGTAGGGATACAGGTGTTGCACAAGACACATTGTCTTATTATAGTGACTATTTGTGCCAAGCATTTACAAAATCCTTTGATCTATGAAGAAGTTATGAACTGGACACAAAATATACCCTGTAATAGACTATGTTAATCTTTGACCTCCAAGTGTGACCTTGACCTTGGAGGTAGGTGACCGGTTGTTGCGCATGACACATCGTCTCATTATTGTGAACAATTCTGGCAAGTATTTACAAAATCCCTTCAAAGATAGGACATGACATATACCATCAAATAGACAATGTTGACCTTGAATGAGCAAGTGCGACCTTGACCCTGGGGGTAGGGGTCTGGTTGATGCGCATGACACATCGTCTTATTATAACAAACATATGTGCCAAGTTATTTCAGATTCCTTTGATGAATGAAAAAGTTATGGACCGGACACAAAATATACCCTGTAATAGACTATGTTAATCTTTGACCTCCAAGTGTGACCTTGACCTTGGAGTTAGGTGACCGGTTGTTGCGCATGACACATCGTCTCATTATTGTGAACAATTGTGGCAAGTATTTACAAAATCCCTTCAAAGATAAGAAAGTTATGGACCGGACACGACATATACCATCAAATAGACAATGTTGACCTTGAATGAGCAAGTGCGACCTTGACCCTGGAGGTAGGGGTCTGGTTGTTGCGCATGACACATTGTCTTATTATAACAAACATTTGTGCCAAGTTATTTCAGATTCCTTTGATAAATGAAAAAGTTATGGACCGGACACAAAATATACCCTGTAATAGACTATGTTAATCTTTGACCTCCAAGTGTGACCTTGACCTTGGAGGTAGGTGACCGGTTGTTGCGCATGACACATCGTCTCATTATTGTGAACAATTGTGGCAAGTATTTACAAAATCCCTTCAAAGATAAGAAAGTTAAGGACTGGACACGACATATACCATCAAATAGACAATGTTGAATTTGAATGAGCAAGTGCGACCTTGACCCTGGAGGTAGGGGTCTGGTTGTTGCGCATGACACATCGTCTTGTTATAACAAACATTTGTGCCAAGTTATTTCAGATTCCTTTGATAAATGAAAAAGTTATGGACCAGACACAAAATATACCCTGTAATAGACTATGTTAATCTTTGACCTCCAAGTGTGACCTTGACCTTGGAGGTAGGTGACCGGTTGTTGCGCATGACACATCTTCTCATTATTGTGAACAATTCTGGCAAGTATTTACAAAATTTCTTCAAAGATAAGAAAGTTATGGACCAGACACGACATATACCATCAAATAGACAATGTTGACCTTGAATGAGCAAGTGCGACCTTGACCCTGGAGGTAGGGGTCTGGTTGTTGCGCATGACACATCATCTTATTATAACAAACATTTGTGCCAAGTTATTTCAGATTCCTTTGATAAATGAAAAAGTTATGGACCGGACACAAAATATACCCTGTAATAGACTATGTTAACATTTGACCTCCAAGTGTGACCTTGACCTTGGAGGTAGGTGACTGGTTGTTGCGCATGACACATCTTCTCATTATTGTGAACAATTGTGGCAAGTATTTACAAAATCCCTTCAAAGATAAGAAAGTTATGGACCGGACATGACATATACCATCAAATAGACAATGTTGAACTTGAATGAGCAAGTGCGACCTTGACCTTGGAGGTAGGAGTCTTGTTGTTGCGCATGACACATCGTCTTATTATAACAAACATTTGTGCCAAGTTATTTTAGATTCCTTTGGTAGATGACAAAGTTATGGACCGGACACGAAAGTGTGACGGACGGACGGACGTTCCAACATTTTGGGTTTAGTGGCTATTTTCTTTGTTATTTTCTTTGTTTTCTTAAGGGCTACTAGCCCATAAACCCTTTTATCACGGAATGAACCTATTGTTCTCTTTTGTTCTCTTTACTGTTCTATAGCCCCTAAACCCAAAATGTTTGCTTGGACGGACGTTCGGACGGACGGACGTTCTCACATGACAGTAATTATGTGGCTACTCTATTGTTCTCTCTATTGTTCTTTTTAGCCACACAAAAGAAAATAGCCACATAAAAGCATTACGGAATGAATGACATCAAAGAGAAAGAACAGTTACCTATTGTCCCTCTAGCCACATAATTACTGTCCTGTGAGTGCGGACAGACGGACGGAGCCTATTACTATATCCCCCTTGCCCACTTAAATGGACTAAAGGGCCATTTCTTTTGTTATTTTCTTTTGTTTAATAGAGGGCCATGGCCCCTTATTCTATTGTTACGGAATGAACTATTGTTCTCTTTTGTTCTGTTTACTGTTAGATGGCCCCCTAACCCTATTTGGTTGCTCGGACGGACAGACGGACAGAGCCTATTACTATATCCCCCTTTTTTCTTCGAAAACGCGGGGGACAATAAACTTATAGTGTTTTTTTTTTTCAATTTATTGATTGCAAAAAGGAATTTATAATTTGTTATGTTCCATTTGGTTTTATGGTGCACCAAGACAATTAAGGTATGGTGCCGAAACAGTAAAGATGATTTTGACTAACTCAGGTGTTACAAACTTAAAGCAAAGCCAGGGATCAAAATCACCTCAACTGCTGGAACTAAGAGATGCATATACTACGGTTAATTTACAGTTTGACATCGACATAAAACTTAATGACCTCAAAACAAAAGGGGTCATTACAGGCCATGGCCAATGTCCCTACAAAGTTTCACAAACTTAGGCTTTTCACTTTTCAAGTTATTGATAGTGTCACTGTGACCATGACCTTTGACCAATGACCTAAAAATGAATAGGGGTCATCTTCTTGTCATATGCAATTTCTCTACAAAGTTTGAAACCTCAGCTTATTCCTTCTCAAGAAATTGAAAGGACAAGGATAACAGGACTTAAGTAGGGACGACACCATCTCAGAATTCTCCCCATTCTTTCAGCTTGTGCATAAAATATGGCCTTGAATTAGAATCATGATACTAAATGTATAACTCTCAAAATAAAATTAGGATCTAAATATTCACTTACCAGCCAAAGGTGGACCACTGAACACACCAATTCCATTTGCAAACATGAGATATCCAAACCCGTCTCCGAGGGCTTCTGTTCCAAGTAAATCAGAGGTAACAACCACTAGAAGTCCAAGTATGATACCAAACATCAGTCCAAACACTAGTGAAATCATAAACAATCCTGCAAATGTATGCAGCACCTTTAAGGTCAACAGCAAGGTCACAATGCCTGCTCCAAAATTTCCTCCAATATATAAACCAATTCTATTAAAATATTTTATATTTCCTAACATTCCTCCCAATACACATCCTATACATGAGCCTGCACCGGCCATTGTGTATGTAATTGATGCATTTTCCTTACTAAGTCCCGCAGAATACGCATACTCTGGGAAAAATATCAAAACTATGGCACCTCCTGCATTCCAACATATATTACTAAACCAGTATATTATAAAATCAATTGTAAAAACTGCTAAAAAATGTTTACGTAATCTTGCATATGTTCCTAATTTTTCATCTGCTGAAAGCATCGTGGAGTTTACATCCAGCTCTGTATCTATTTCATTACAGTCACAATTTGAAATCTGGCCATTAACAGGTGTAATATTTTCAGTCTCGCAACCATTTACCTCCGACTTCCTTCGTTTTTTACTAACATTTAATGTTTGAAGTTCTTCTGCCGCAGCAATAGTTTTTAGAAACTTTTTTGGCACTGGCCTCAACAAGGCAGCAAATATTAATAAGTGAAGATTTAATCCTGATACTATATAAAGTGATCCCCTCCAACCATAATAATCTATAATTTTAAACATGACTACAGGAAACACAGCTGCTCCCATCCCTGAACCTGCAGTGGCAATCCCAGTAGCTAGACTTCTATGTTTCAGGAAATACAATCCACTTAGTACATGAGATGGAACATACACTAGACAGTAGCCAAGACCTGAAATACAAAAAACAACAACCTAGAAATGTGTTAGGCAAAAATCTTCATCAAAAATTCATTCAGTTTTCCAACACAAAAAGAAATTAGAATTGCATGATAAACATTTGTATACATTGTAATATAATTTAATCAAATAAATCGTCTATATCCATCCATGAAAATTGCAAATAGTGAATACCTGTACTTTTGTCAGTATTATAAATCAGGTAAATAATGAAAATTGTTATCCATTCTGTACATGTATTTTTTTTTTTAATTTTTAAAGATTATAAAAGATAAACCAAATACCGTTAATGTGGGACGGTATCTATAAATGAGTGTAATATGGCACAGTACATATTATGATGTCTAACCAGTTAAGATGAAACAAGAACGTGTTTGTTAAAAAAAAATGCCCCGGGTCCAATTTTGTCCTAGCAAATTTTAAAAAAGAATGTGGAGGACAGTAACCTCGACTATTTGAAAAAATTTGTCAAAAGGGGGGTTTTTTGGTTAATAAAGCTTCCTATTAATACTAAATTGTCCGAAAAGGGAAGACTCTTTAAAATTTCAATACATTCCCCTTTATAGTTATGGAATACAATTTCATGCAAAAAAAATTAACCAAAAATTCATAGTCGAAAAAGGGGGGATAATTTGCAAAGAAAAATCAGAATACTTGTACCCCAAACATTAGTAATCACAGAGACCCAAAAGTGTGAAGTTTCAAACAAAACCCTTCAGTTTTATGGAGATAACCGTTACAGCAAAAAATTAACCAAGTTTCTAAATCAAATAAGGGGCAAATTATTAAAAAAACAAATCAGAGTTATGGGACTTGTGCCAATCATCTTAGATAATCACAGAGAACAAGTGTGTGAAGTTTCAATCCATTCCTTCAGTAGTTATGGAGATACCAGCTTACATGCAAAAACTTAACCAAGAATTTCTAAGTCGAAAAAGGGGCATAATTATTGAAAAAAAGCAAATCAGAGTTATGGGACTTGTGCCAATCATCTAAGATAATCACAGAGAACAAGTGTGTGAAGTTTCAATCCATTCCCTTCAGTAGTTATGGAGATACCAGCTTACACGCAAAAACTTAACCAAGAATTTCTAAGTCAAAAAAGGGGCATAATTATGTAAAAAAGCAAATCAGAGTTATGGGACTTGTGCCAATCATCTTAGATAATCACAGAGAACAAGTGTGTGAAGTTTCAATCAATTCCCTTCAGTAGTTATGGAGATACCAGCTTACATACAAAAACTTAACCAAGAATTTCTAAGTCGAAAAAGGGGCATAATTATGAAAAAAAGCAAATCAGAGTTATGGGACTTGTGCCAATTATCTTAGATAATCACAGAGAACAAGTGTGTGAAGTTTCAATCCATTCCCTTCAGTAGTTATGGAGATACCAGCTTACATACAAAAACTTAACCAAGAATTTCTAAGTCAAAAAAGGGGCATAATTATGAAAAAAAGCAAATCAGAGTTATGGGACTTGTGCCAATCATCTTAGATAATCACAGAGAACAAGTGTGTGAAGTTTCAATCCATTCCCTTCAGTAGTTATGGAGATACCAGCTTACATACAAAAACTTAACCAAGAATTTCTAAGTCGAAAAAGGGGCATAATTATGAAAAAAAGCAAATCAGAGTTATGGGACTTGTGCCAATCATCTAAGATAATCACAGAGAACAAGTGTGTGAAGTTTCAATCCATTCCCTTCAGTAGTTATGGAGATACCAGCTTACATACAAAAACTTAACCACAGGGACGCCGACGCCGACGCCGACGCCGACGCCGACAAATGGGTGACTGCATTAGCTCGATTATTCTGCGAATAGTCGAGCTAAAAATGTTTAGCCATTCACTCAGTTATGGACAGAAACATTGCCAAAAAATTGTAAACACAAGTTATATAGCTTGACAGAGTCATGGCATTTTGTAATTGAGAAATATATAAGTTGCCAAGTCATTGCTATGACTTGTGAAGTGATAAATATTCAAATTTATCAAATATATATAAATGTAAGAAATCTATACTTGGCACCCTTGACCCACGGACACAAATAGAATATCATGCAAGTTATCTTCCTACCAAATATGAAATACACCTGTCAATAAATAAAGGCTGTATGAGCAAAAGTGTTAAAATCTATTTTGAGCATTGATGACCTTGATCAAACTGACCCCTAACTCAATCCAAAGGAAGAATACCATGCAAGTTATCTTCCAACCAAATATGAAATAAATCTGTCAATAAATAAAGGCTGTATGGGCAAAAGTGTAAAAATCTATTTTTAGCACTTGTGACCTTGACCCAACTGACCCCTAATTCCATCCAAAGTAAGAATAACATGCAAGTCATCTTCCTACCAAATATGAAATATATCTGTCAATAAATAAAGGCTGTATGGGCAAAATTGTAAAAATCTATTTTTAGCACTAGTGACCTTGACACACTGATCCCTAACTCAATCAAAAGGAAGAATATCATGCAAGTTATCTTCCTATCAAATATGAAATACACCTCTCAATAAGTAAAGCCTGTATGGGCAAAAGTGTAATCAAAGTGCTGCAGCACTGAATGCGACGGACATGCAACCGGAGAGACATTATGGCTTTTTTTAGAAAAAAAAAAAAACAACACAAAAGATATAACAGAAAATTTGTTCTATACAAGTTCGAGATTTGTAGAGCAATATATTTTATGTGTCCCATTCTGATATAATTCAGATTTTCTACTTTCAAGCAGAAAAGGTCCAAATTTTTAAAAACAGAATGAAATTTATGCCTAAAAACTCTGGTCAAACTTGTAGATAAGTGTCCTTATCGATTTATTCCAAGAAATGATATGTAAATAGAAAAAAAAACTGTCTAAAATATAACCATGCAAATAAACTTCATTCATAATACATAATACATGTGAGAATGTTAATTAGAATTGCTGCGTGTTATATCATAGTGGGCATGTAGACAATAAAATATAAGTCATTCGTATTTTTATTTCTCTTGGTTATGTCTCATTAAAAATATTTTTGGTTAAAATCATCAGCAATTAATGGTGTATTTTTTTTAGATTTTTATTTTCATTTACGTCACTTAAGCACTACAGTGTTTAGCTGTCCCTTTCAATTTCACACTAAATTCCATTTTCAACTTGTTTGCTTCTTACAATTGTATAGAATTTCATAAAGTATTGCATGTAAACAAAGTAAGTATCCGCTGAAAGCAGAATCTATTTTTAGAATAGTGTTATCTTCTGGCTATCGTGACCTAGAAAACTATGTAAACAAAACACATGTAAGAATCGGAAGTAGAACTGATATTATAACTTCCTTCAATAAAGATTACCATGAAAGACTATATGATGGTAAAGTGTTGAAAAACTTGTAACATGCATTTTCAAAAATAGATATTTATAATACTAACCATTGTACTGTAGTCTAATTTATTAATAACTGCTGAATATTCAGCTAAACCCGCGGTGTGAGTCACGAAAAGAGTTCTTCTTTTATTAATGCGCGAGTTATTCTAAAGTCACCAAAAACTTTTGATCTGTTAATAAAAATGTTTTGTTTAATGGGGAAATATTTATTTCCTGCTTATAATTTCTATGAATTATTGAGCCTACTCCTTAATTATAGCATAATTTGCTGTCCTACTTTTTCGACAGCGGTAAATCGTTTCAGCAGTTATTTGCATAATTGCGCAATAATACTACGGGGCTACAACGTTTTTATCAATCAAATACTTTTATATTTTAACTTGGATAACTTAATTTGAAATTGAAAAGGCTAAATATGGAAGTTTTTAAGATATCCCAACGAAGTATGGGAGTTTCATAGGATCAAATTCATGTACTATGTCGTGGGCTGTTATTCGGCTGAGGACACATTGCGCGAGTGTAGCCAACGAAATCCCATGTGTAGATGACATAGCTCTGAACGCGCCTGAGGGCGCGTCCGTCGCAAAAATCTATTTTTAGCACTTGTGACCTTGACCCACTGATCCCTACCCCAATCAAAAGGATGAATACCATGCAAGTTATCTTCCTACCTAATATGAAATATATCTGTCAATAAATAAAGGCTGTATGAGCAAAAGTGTAAAAATCTATTTTTAGCACTGCAGGTGACCTTGACCCAACTGACCACTAACTACATCAAATTTTATGTTCCTATCAATTATAAATGACATCTGTAGAATATGGTTAATAAACCTGTAAAAATGTAAAAATTTATTTTTAACATTGGTGACCTTGACATTGGTGACATTGACCTTGACCCAAATGACCCCTTACTATACCCAAAGAAGGAGGACCTCCCTTGGCATGTTTGTATTAAACATGAAAGACATCAACCAAAAAATAAAGGCTGTATGAGCAAAAATGTTTAAATTTATTTTCTAAACCAGTGACCTTGACCTTGACCCTAGAGACCACTTACTCCACAAAAAATTAGAGGACCATTAAAGGTATCCACCTACCAAATATGCAAGATATCATTAAATAAATTAAGCAATTAAGAGAAATTTACGATAAATCCAACTTACCGGAATAGGTTAACAAGACAAGGCCCTATTTTCAAAGTGAAAAAAGGGAAATAACTGGGAAATATGGATGACACAGTTATATTACTTGGCAATATTATGTACTTTGTATTGATAAGTAAATGTGGAAATTATGAAGCCATTAGTATAGATAGAACTTAAGATATTTCCAACTTGCCGTTTTACGTTAACCATTATTCATTTTCTAAGTGCTGAAAAGGGCAATAACTTGGTGAATATGGAAGCCATTGTTATGTAACTTAACCAGATCATGTACTTTGTATTGATTAGTAAGTGTGTAAACTAAGAAGCCATTGGTACAGGTAGAACTTAAGAAAAATCCAACTTGCCGTTCTAGGTTAACCTTGTACGGACAGACGGACTGACGGTTCAATTACTATATGCCCAGGGGCATAAAAATTGTTATGGGATAATCTTAACCCATAACCTATGGTATCTGTTTGCCACCAGTATAGAGCTCTGCTAGCTTGCACATCCATGTTCCAGTCTCATTAAAATCAGATCATTGCTTTAGCTCCTTAACTCTTCGCTAGGAAGGGTAGCGAAGCAACAATTACTCAGTTAGGATATGATTTTAATAAGATTGATCCATGCCCTATACTATTGGTAGCTCTATTTTTTTATTTTGACATTGAAATCCCTTAAATTACAAATGGATTATTCCAAATTGAAAGCAAGGAAAATCAATAACACAAATTTAGCATGTTAAAGGTTTATTGCTAAAACTGTGCCAAGTGTGTTTATGACCCCCTTTTAACTGATAAATCATTAATACATCAATATAAAATGTTGACAAAGTCCATGTTTGATGATCATGACAATAAATTCACCAGAGGACGCTGCATTCATCATGTAACAACAAATGTGACCTCCTGAATGTGTGTAAAACACTCCTAATGGAGTTATAAATCCTTTGTTTAGACACTGTAAAGTTAAGAGTCTATAATAACAGACCTAGGCCAACAGTGAGCAGTCTGACCTAACTCTATACAGCTGCCTGCTCAATTTTAACATTTTTATATTGAAATCAAGAAAGAAAATAAAAATTAAAAGCAGACACAGACAAATATAGAAGCTGAGCAAGGTAAGAGACATAAAGTGTTACAGTTTTGTATAAACAAATTTTAGATAACTGATTCTGATGAGATCATCAATATTCTATCTAACTAATCCTAGCCTCTAGAGAATACTCACCTGACAACACTCCGTAGAAGGCATACATATATTCTAGGTTTGGGGCAAATGGCATTGTAATAAGTCCAATGTTACATAGCACAGCCCCTAGCAATGCTACTTGTCTATGACTCCATCTGGTCATCAAAACACTTGCCAATGGTCCTGAAAAGGAGCAACTATTATATACAGAGCAATAAGGAGTAAATATTATATACTTTCAAATAAATTATAACTATAAAGCATTTGTTAAAGACTATCAATTTTGATTATGATTTTTTTGTATCTGTAAATGCAAACAAAACAAGAGCCATGTTATGCATGGTTAATCCCCTTATGGTAAAGAGGCTACATAAAGGTTGTACTTTTGTACATTTTACTTGGTGAGAGGTTATTCTTACAAAGCTGTATAATTATGGTCATGCTACTTATGCTAAGTTAAGTTTTCAAGTAAGTGGAAATAGAAAAAGGCAATGAAGATTAGCATAACTAGTAACTTACATGTGAATTATTACTTTTTTTTTTAATTTTTTTTTTTTTTTGGTCAGTGTATTAAGTTTGAAGAAAATTACTCGACTACTTTTGGATTTATGCTCAGGTCAAAACTAAATAAGGTAAATCTGATAACGGGAAGTAATTCTGAAATGTGCAAGGTTGATTTATGGTTCTTGCACACAGCACTTCCTACAAATGGCTTTGTCAGTGTATTAAGTTTGAAGTACTTTAACAGTTATGCTTCAGACAGTTTTTCGAGTAAATCTGATAAAGGAGAATAACCCTAAAAGTAGCCAAGGTACAGTTATTGTTCTTAAACACTGCACTTCTTTCCATTGTGCTCTATCAGTGTATGAAGTATGGAGTAAATCCCTCAAGTACTTTGGGAGTTATGCTTAGGACAATCATTTAAAGGGTAATTACTCTAAAATTAGCCAAGGTAGAGTTATTGTTCTTGAACACTACACTTCTTCTCAATGTGCTCTATCAGTGTATGAAGTTTAAAGAAAATTGCATAAGTAATTTCTGGACAGAATTGGGACAGACACAGAAAAACATCAATGGAGACCATTTCTAATATCCCCTTTACCTTTGTCGTGGGATTAATAAATGGGATTGGTTTTACAAAAATTGAAATATGAATAGAAGTGCATAATTAAAAAGATTACTAGAATAATAAATTACATTTTGATTATTTGATTTGTTATTTGATTAGTAAAGCATAAAATGTAGTGAAAATAAATAGTTCAGCTCCTGCAAAAGAAGCTTCAAAAACAGCATTGGAAATATTAGTCATTTTCCTACCCTTAACCTGTTGAATTTCTAAAATGGACTTGTCCAGCTTTCATTTATGGGACTATCCATTATAAATTTTTGGGATATCAATTTAGTCAACCAACAGTAAAAAGAGACGGTTCACATAGCACTGAGCTGACTGGCCTAGCTCTAAGCTGGTAGCAAAGACTTATCACTTTTGGTTTCAGTAGGGGAAGGGTTAACACAAAAGCATTATAACAAGAAGCAATTAAACAACTACATTTAAGCCGCGTCACGACAAAACCAACATAATGGGTTTGCGACCAGCATGGATCCAGACCAGCCTGCGCATCTGCGCAGTCTGATCAGGATCCATGCTGTTCGCTTACAAACCCTACAGCAAGTAGAGAAACTGATAGCGAACAGCTGGTCGCAAACCCATTATGTTGGTTTTGTCATGACGTGGCTCATTTATAGTTCTAGTTGTCCCCTTTGAAATAGCTTTAAAATCAACCATTTAAACTTAGTACTTAAAATTGCTACAACAAATGTTACACAGCAAAGCTGAAAACTTTTCATTTGTATTGCAAGCTAAATCCTATTCAATCAGTTTATGAAACAAAAATAAAGCCCAAATCAATTTCTATAGTTAGATACACTACAATAAAAAAAGAAACATCTACACCAATTATTTTGGTACAACCAATCAACACAAGTGGAAGTAAAAAAAGACTTGTCTTTGAAAACTTAGACTACTGCCCCCAAAGCTGGCCTAGTAAAGAACTATGCTTTGACCTACAATAAATGCATGGCTACTTTAAATAGAAATGATTCCTTACAGCATGAATGACCCTGCCAGATTACATTTTTAGTCCAAGTACACATACAATCTGAATGAATTCTGAACACTTTGTGTGACCTTGGCCACAGGGACCTCGGTTTTTGGTGCAACACTACTTCATAATGATGAAATTTTATGTAATTTTAAATTAAAATCCCTCAATGACTGTAGAAGTTTTACTCCTAACAATTATTTTTTTCATATCTCAACCTTTTACCTGAGACCAGGTTCTTGCATGCAACACTCTGTCCTATGATGGTGAAGGTTTATTAAAATCCACGTGTGCATGATTGTAGAAAAATATACTCTAAAAGAAATCTTAATTATTTGTTTGATTTTTATTCTGAAAACAATTTCAGTCATTTCACTGTGGTTGGTCCACCCAATTGCTCCACAAGTAACCAACATCTAATCCCTCTTGATTTCTAGAAATAACCATAAAACATATTGTCCATTTTTGAATTAAGGACAGTCTTAATTACTATAAAATATATTAAAACCAAAGAAATATGCTTAAACTAGAAATGTGTCCATAGGACACGGTGCCCCCCCCACCGCGCCACTGTTCTGTCAATCTTTTTACTAAGTCAAGGGAAATAACTCTGAAAAATACTGGATAAATCCACAAGCGAAACCCCAGGTGCAAATCTAAATATGCTGAGCAACCTGCCCATAAGGTTTAATGACTATGTCAAATCCTTTTTGAGTAGCTTGCGACACAAGTTGAAAATTGCAAAAATTTTCTAAGTGAGGGCTATAACTCTAAAAACACTAAATAAATCCAGACAAAAATACCTGGTGCACAACTGCACATGCTGATCAATATTCCTGTAAAGTAACATGACTCTAGGTCAAATACTTTTTGAGTTACATGCGACACAAGTTGAAAATTGCAAAATTTTACTAAGTCAAGGGCAATAACTCTGAAAATACTAAAAATATCCAGACGAAAATACCCAGGTGCACAACAACACATGCTGATCAACATTCCTGTAAAGTTTCATGACTCTAGGTCAAATACTTTTTGAGTTACATGCGACACAAGTTGAAAATTGCAAAATTTTACTAAGTCAAGGGCAATAACTCTGTAAATACTAAAAATATCCAGACGAAAATACCCAGGTGCACAACTATACATGCTGATCAACATTCCTGTAAAGTTTCATGACTCTAGGTCAAATACTTTTTGAATTACGTGCGACACAAAAGTGAATGGACGGACGGACGGAAGGACTGACGGACAAGGGTAAATCTAAATGCCCGCCACTAACGTGGGGGCACAATAAAGCCACCAAATGTACCAGTATTATGTACAATATAATGACATGCAGACTGGAAACTGATTATATACTTAAAGAATGGATGTGGGATCATAATTTTGGCATGAAGGATGCGTGAAATTTGTGCCACAGGAACAGAAACAAGCTGGCATTTTTTTTTGCACATCACTGAGTCCATGATATGAACACAAGATGAAAGTTAAAAACCTTACCTTGCATCTTTGATTACTATAAAGCATTTAGATAAAATATTCAAGCTTTAAGCAAAACTGTGATAGCATTTATACTGTTTCTAACAGGTATACCAGCAATAACCTCACATGCTACTTTTGAAAATTTGATAAAACATTTCCTACGCAGAATTTACTCACACTTTACACACAAAGCAGCAGAGTCACAAACTAGTCTAAATCACACAGATGGATATTTTGCTTTCTTCAAATCATGCATCAAAAATTGTCATGTAAACTTTATTGTTGTAGGATACTCTGTTAGAAACAATAAAACTAAAACGCAACACCAAAGAAAAACAGTTAAATTAAAGATACAAAGTAGAAATAAATCTATCTGCCAATAAATGTTGAACTAAGATTATTCTTAACACTGTACATTTGTATATTTTAAATGGCAAACAAATTAATTTATAAAATATACAGATAAATTTTTGTCTCAAAAAAAATATATATTATTTACAACACTTTACTGTAACATTTTTGCTTTTAAGTTCTAATTTCTATATCATCTTGTCAAACCAGGTAAATACCATCATCTGATACCCATGGTTGATTAACAGGTAAATGTTAAAGGTTCAGACGTGTGTATCCGACGATGAGTAAATACATAAATTATCACTCAATCTTTTACACATTATTTTCAGTACTTTCTATATATAGTGCATTTATAATTGCACAAATTTCATTTAAAATGAACAGATAGCAGATTGGCAATCCTAAACATTTTACATTTAAATGCAGTGATGAAAAAACTACCTATATACTTGCATACCTGCAATAAGCAGAAAGCAACAGGGATTTTAAGTGGAGAAAAAAGAACTACTGTAGTAACTAAGAGAAATGCATGTTTTTTTTGCAGAAAATGTTTGGTTTTATTTGTTTTAGGTTTTTTGGGTTTTTTTGGCAGATAGACCTGTCTTCCATACAGAATGTTAGTGCAAGCAATCCTTTTGCTGATGATCTACCTGTTCCTAATACAACGCCAAGGTTAATTGATCCCACCAACGATACTTTAGCTGCTGTGGTCTCAAAGTACCGTAGAAACTCTATGTTGTATACACCAATTGACTGAGTGGTGCCAAATGTTAAAAACTGTGAAAAAATTTATTCAATCATATCATCATTTACAATGTAACTCAGACAAACACAAAATAAAGACATGAAATATACAGAATTCCAGATCAGCTTTACTTTTCACAAGTATTTATTCTTCTATCTAAATTTTATCAGTCTTCCAAAGTTTTTTTTGGGGGGAACAAAACTACAATGTACATGTACCAGTGCTTCTTTGGTCAATGAGTGCAACCATCTTTTATAGCATCCTTAAAGTTTATTCCAAGACTGGTCTGCATCAAGAATGCCTAGATCTTAGATAACTTTAAAACTAAACAAATACTAGCTTGTGTTGATTTAAAACAGTGGATAACAAAAACCTTAAATTCTGAATTAAAACTCAAATCATTAATACATATCGTTTTCAACGTTTATTAATTGAAAGAAAAGAAGAAATACTGCAACAAGAAAGCCTCTGGATCTCTGATAGACTTTAAACAAATTACTACAAGTATTACCTGCGCCTAAGAATACCCCAAGATTTATGGATCCAACAAGGGATATTGCCATTGCCCCAGTTTTGAAATAGCGCAGAAGCTCTATGTTGTATACGCCTATTGACTGAGACGTACCAAAGGCTAATACCTGTAGAGAAAATGTTCTGTAAGGTGTTTATGTTTTTTGCACTAAATAATTGCCAGGATTTGTTGAAATTTTCTTTAATAACTTGTCTTGTAATACATAAACAACAAAAAATATTAAGATTATCTTTTTTTAATAAAACTGTGAATTACTGCAGTTAATTGTTCAATCTGTTCATCAAGTAATGATAATTTCATAATTTAAAGATACAATAATTTTTTTTAGTTTATACAACACCCACACATACCTGAATACAGAATGCAGCTAGAACAACAACACATCCCCATGGTCCACCCTCCACCGAGCTGAACCTCTTTTTTCTCTCTTCCAACATTCTTCTAGTTGCTTATCTCAATACCAGCTGTTTGAAGCAAACAAAAGCATGTGTAAAATTCAATAGCAAAGTTTAAATTTAAATTTAGCAGCAATCTCCTGAAAAAGACCACTTCAAGAGTTAAACTTGTATAAAATAAGAAACTAAAGAAAATGAATTAAACCTTATATGTACTCCTGGTTTAGACCCTGGGTCTATTCCAGGATATAGCCTAGGTTTCTTTAAAATAAGAGTTTAAAAACTACATAATGACTCCAAATATAATAATTGTCATCAGGTATATATACATGTATTAACCTGTCACAGGGTGAGAAAAATGTGCAACCTGACCAGGGACGCAAACCCAGGACCGTCGAATACTGTGTCGCTGCTCTACTGACTGAGCTATCCGACCACTTACATATCTTCTCTCCTAAATAGTGGACAGTTCTGAACCTTGACATACTTGGGCCCCAGCTATATATAAATTCATCCCTGAATTTCTCAGGGTTACAGAGCAATGTGAATTAAACTCTGAGAGTCTGAGCTATATGCAGTTGCTGCCCAACATTGAGTGCCAAATGTCAAAGGGTGAGAAAAATGTGCAGCCTGACCAGGACTTGAACCCTGGATCCTCATAATACCGTTCAGCGGCTCTACCGACTAATTAAGCTATCTGCCCGCTTACACATCTTCTCCCCTAGTCCAACTAATTGTAGACTTATCAAAGAGACATCACAATAATTTTGGACAGGCAATATCTTTTTCCAATGATTTGACAGTAAAAGTTACAGTATGAAAAAAAATAGTAAAATGGGACAATGCTTATTTAAATTATTCAGCTAGATCTACTTATCTCCTAAATAGTGAACAGTTTTGATAATATATGTGCCTGATGTCATCAACCACTAACTCCAGTACTGGCAATGCTATAAGATGACACATTATAACTCTAATTTTTTCTTACACTAGTATGGCATAAAAATCCTTATCTAACTTACCTTTGTTGATAATCCTTTTTCAATTTATTTATAAATGTAGATTTTTTGTGCAGATTAGAAAATTCAGTATGTTCTTAGTTGTAGCCTACAGTATGAAAATGTAAATGATAAGATATTTATCCAGGTAAGTGGATGACCTACAATGTAAATCGATTATGTAATCTTAAATGAAATTACAAATGATGAAACAAATTATTGCCCCAAACACAAAGTCCTTGAACTGTTGAATATATTACGACCTTTAAAAGTTCAAAATATGGAAGACAATCAGTTTTTATGAAGAAAAAGTCTGATTTGAAACATTAAAACTTACACTTATAAATTTAATCAAACAGCAAACCAGTACATCTCATTGTTGTTTTAAATCATACTTATCCTTGTCAAATTATTGAAGATCGCGAAAACTCATGAATTTTGCTTCTTACGTTGGAAAACAATATAAGCTATGGTTATTTCTACCTTGAATAAATCAACATGTTTTTTCTGTTATATCTTACAAATATATATTATAAATAACAAGATAAACTTAATTTTCTAACAGAAAATAATCATAAAATAGTCTCCAACTCTTAATATCTTGACGACTCTGATAAAAATTGTTGTCATCTTACGGTATTCAGAATTTTTATTAGATAAGTTTGTTTGTCTTGATCTGGAACATACGATACGTACATCCCAGGTCTTGATTGGTCTTTATAGTCATGTTTAGGCTAAAGACCTCGTCCATGCTACTTGTGAATTATAGGCAATCATGGTTATGTTACATGGTGAATTACTATAGGCAACTCAAATCCTTGATATGTTATGTGTGAACTGTAGCTAACTCAGTCATAATTATGCTTCTTGTGAACTTTAGCCAACTTAATCATGGTTATGTTACTTGTTCAATCATGATTATGCTACTTGTGAACGATAGCCAACTCAATAATGGTTATGTTACTTGTGAACTACAGCTTACTCAATCATGGTTCTGGAGCCGCCTTAGTAATTTAGAATTGTTAGACATCAAGACAATTTGGCAAGTGCTATCTTTTCTAAAACTGTGTGACAGCAAGAAAAAATCATCTGTTAACTGGGTCAACTGATCACGCCGAATTAATTAGGCTAGAACCACCTAAAGTCATTGTTATAACCTTCAAACTTTTGCCATGATTATTTTACTTGTCACTATAGCTGTCTAAAGGGGACTCCATCAAGGGTTTTTGTCACAACAGGACATGAATTATGATTTCAAGTTTTTGTCAACCATTAATTCACTTACTTCAATTTCCTGAATGATACATTGTCCTTTTATTATGCAATGATCAATGCTTTTAATTTGACGATTAAATATCAATTTTCACTTCCAAGTATATATATTGATAATATTTTTTCATATTTTACATTTCAAGTGCCTTGGTTGATCTTTGTAAGATTTTCAAATTTTATGTTTTTTAGGCCTTTGGACCACAGTGGAACTCTTAACTATAGCAAACTTAAGTCATGGTTAAATAATAAGCCATTTCAGGCCATGATTATGTTATGTACTTCAAAACAATAACCAACTCGAGCCATGTAATGTAATGTGTTATGCTGTCTTGTGAGGAGTTCTTCAAACAGCATTTAACAAAGGGATAATAACATGTTGTACTTTCTAACAACACTAAGAAAAAGACACTTCAATAAGGATTTATGAATTTATTCTTTCTGTATGTATTCCCGTGTAAGTACATGTACTTATGATAAAGAATATTCTTTTACACAAGACTGGATACCTAATATAAAAGTTCAAATATGGTAAAAATGTAACAAGTAATGCAAAATAACAACATAAGTGAAAATTTCATAGATTTGTGTTAAACATTCAAGAAAAAATAAGTTAAAATTCACATATCATCATTAGATACAGGTAGACATATAATATAGCACATTAACAAAATATAGGAATTACACAAACAGCTAAAAGTAGCATGGCAAACAAGTAACAATCACACAAAAGCACTTTCATATAAAATTATTCGAAAAAATAATACTGGAGATGAAATTCAACTTATATCACAAGCTTCAGGAAAGCAGTGTATGTATATAAGTTCAAGCAGAAATATAGATCAATATTCCTTAATTTGCATTTGTCAGAACAACGTGCAAATACCACCAACTTTAGTAGTGAAATTCCTGGAGTGAACAAGATGAATACGACCTTGTTTGTTCAACAAACATTGTTACATCAGGTAATGGAATTATCAATAGGGGTTTGCCTTTGGTGTGCAGATTACATGTTTCAGTCATTGTAAATGTTTTTAAATCCAGAACTGGGTAATTTTTTAAGACCCTGACCAAATTTTTCCAATTATAAACTGATGTAATAATAGCGACTCGTAAAATTGTCAATAGCGGTAACCTAGTGATTAAGGTGCCTGTCCCTCAACCAGTGGATCATGGGTCCGAGCCCTAATATGGTCACGACCATGTTTCTTCATGTGACACGAGAACTGGTTGGTTCCAGGAAGCGGACTTGAAAGTGATTAATATAAGTTGCAAGAACTTGTTTCCCAATCGAACTTAAATAAATGTGTTGAAACCAATATTCTAATATATTATTTGTACAGTTGTACCTTTGTAAACAAGCATTTGATAGTATTGCGGGCAATACAGTAGTCCCCTACCGGTCCCTCAAAAAGTTCTTTAATTGTCATACACTCCTGTGTATTGCCATTTATAATGAATTTGAGGATGAAGTCTGTATTTGAAAATATCGACCACAAAACATAATAAAATAAGTTTGTTTATATCACAGTAATGTGTTAAGTTTCCATGCTTAGTAAGGAAATTATGTTTATACAACCTTGTCATATTATTACGATGTGGGATTTTAAAGTAAATCCTATAAGGAATGAAGAAGTTGGAGTGAAAATACCAGTTTTCTCGAAAAAAATCTAAGTTCAAGGGGGACATAATTCTGGAAATAGTCTTGCTAGAGTATTTAACCTTCTCAAAAATGTCGAGTGATAATAAGAAACATATATATGAAGTTTGAAGTAGATACATTAGGAAATAAAGAAGTTATTTAAAAAAGACAACATTTTTTCCCCTAAAAAATCTAAGTTCAAGGGAGGTAATATTAATATTTTTTGTGCTAGAGTTATAAACCTTGTCACATATGATGTGGTTGATGACCAGGAACTTATATTTAAAGTTTGAAGTAAACACCTTAAGAAATAAAGAACATATAGTGAAAAAGCTGAAAAATTTAAATCAGAAATCTTGAAATTCAGGCTATTTGTTGCCATAGCAACCAGAATTTTCAACATAGGAAGAAAAGAAAAAGAAGTGCATAACCTCCAGACTGCCATCTACCCATATTTCAAGTTTCATAAAAATATTTTCAGTACTTTTTGAGTTATCACTGGATCCAGTTTATGTGTTAAATTTGCCATATTTTCAGACTATTTGTTGCCATAGCAACCAGAATTTTCAACATAGGAAGAAAAGAAAAAGACGTGCATAATCTCCATACTGCCATCTATCCATATATCAAGTTTCATAAAAATATTTTCAGTACTTTTTGCGTTATCGCGGGATCCAGTTTTGTGGACGGACGGACTGACGGACTGACAGACAGACGGACAGACAGACAGACGGACAGACGGACGGAGGGTAAACCTAAAGTCCCCTCCGGTTAAACCGGTAGGGGACTAACAAGCAATTATCATAGTATTGCAAGCAATCCATAAGTCCCCTACCGGTAAGAGCCCAAGCAACATTCTGAAGGGCCATTGGCCATTCACTTAGGTTCCTATTTTAAGTAAATTTGTTGAAAAAGTTCTTTAAAAGTGATCACAGGAAACAGTTTTTATGTACAGACAGACGGACTGAAGGACACTCTAAAGTTCTTTTTTAAACATCCCTGTTATCAAAATATAACATTTTTAAAATCCTATCATGATTGAAGAAGTTGGAGTAAAAATTACCAATTTCTCAAAAAAAAGTCTAAGTTCAAAAGGGGCATAATTCTGGAAAAAGTCTTGCTAGAGTATTGAACACTCACAAATGTTGAGTGACAATAAGAAACATTTATATGAAGTTTGAAGTAGATACATTCAGAAAAAGAAGTTATTAAAAAAAACAATGTTTTTTTCATGAAAATTTTAAGTTCAAGGGAGGTAATTCTGATAAATTTTGTGCTAGAGTTGTAAACCTTGTCACATATGATGTGGTTGATGACAAGCAACTTATATTTAAAGTTTGAAGAAAATACCTTAAGAAATAACGAACTTATAGTGAAACAAGAGGGCCATGATGGCCCTGAGGTCGCTCACCTGTATATAGCCCCCCCTCCCCCCGGGGTCAATTTTTACCCAAGGGCTTTTATTTGAACAGACTTGGTAGACACCCATAAGAAGATGTTTCATGCTAAACATCTAAGTTCTAGCTCATTGGGTTTTTAAAAGAAGATTTTTAAGTTTTTACTATACACATATAGTTAAAAACAATGACACCCCTGGGGCAGGGCCAGTTTTGACCCCAGGGCTTTTATTTGAACAAACTTTGTAGATATTTACTTAAAGATGTTTCATGTATAATATCTAAACTCAAGCTATTTGGGTTTTTTCAAAGAAGATTTTTAAGTTTTTGCTACACATATAAGGAAAATCAATGACCCCCGGGGCAGGGCCAGTTTTGACCCCAGGGCTTTTATTTGAACAGACTTGGTAGACACCCATTAGAACATGTTTCACGCTAAATATCTTAGCTCTAGCTCTTTGAGTTCTTTAAAAGAAGATTTTTTAAGTTTTTACTATATGCATATAGGGAAAATCAATGACCCCCTGGGGCGGGGCCAATTTTGACCCTAGGGCTTTTATTTGAACAAACTTGGTAGACACTCATTAGAAGATGTTTCATGCTAAATATCTTAGCTCTAGCTCTTTGGGTTCTTTAAAAGAAGATTTTTTAAGTTTTTACTATATGCATATAGGGAAAATCTATGACCCCCTGGCACGGGGCCAATTTTGACCCCAGGGCTTTTATTTGAACAAACTTGGTAGACATTCACAAGAAGATGTTTCATGCCAAATATCTAAGCTCTAGCTCTTACGGTTCTTTAAAAGAAGATTTTTTAAGTTTTTACTATATGCATATAGGGAAAATCAATGACCCCCCGGGGCGGGGCCAATTTTGACCCTAGGGCTTTTATTTGAACAAACTTGGTAGACACTCATTAGAAGATGTTTCATGCTAAATATCTTAGCTCTAGCTCTTTGGGTTCTTTAAAAGAAGATTTTTTAAGTTTTTACTATATGCATATAGGGAAAATCTATGACCCCCTGGCGCGGGGCCAATTTTGACCCCAGGGCTTTTATTTGAACAAACTTGGTAGACACTCACTAGAAGATATTTCATGTCAAATATCTTAGCTCTAGCTCTTTGGGTTCTTTAAAAGAAGATTTTTTAAGTTTTTACTATATGCATATAGGGAAAATCAATGACCCCCCCGGGCGGGGCCAATTTTGACCCCAGGGCTTTTATTTGAACAAACTTGGTAGACACTCACTAGAAGATATTTCATGTCAAATATCTTAGCTCTAGCTCTTTGGGTTCTTTAAAAGAAGATTTTTTAAGTTTTTACTATATGCATATAGGGAAAATCTATGACCCCCTGGGGCAGGGCCAATTTTGACCTCAGGGCTTTTATTTGAACAAACTTGGTAGACACTCATTAGAAGATGTTTCATGCTAAATATCTTAGCCCTAGCTCTTTGGGTTCTTTAAAAGAAGATTTTTTAAGTTTTTACTATATGCATATAGGGAAAATCAATGACCCCCTGGGGCGGGACCAATTTTGACCCTAAGGCTTTTATTTGAACAAACTTGGTAGACATTCACTAGAAGATGTTTCATGCCAAATATCTTAGCTCTAGCTCTTTGGGTTCTTTAAAAGAAGATTTTAAAGTTTTTACTATATGCATATAGGAAAAATCAATGACACCCTGGGGCGGGGCCAATTTTGACCCTAAGGCTTTTATTTGAACAAACTTGGTAGACACTCATTAGAAGATGTTTCATGCCAAATATCTTAGCTCTAGCTCTTTGGGTTCTTTAAAAGAAGATTTTTAAGTTTTTACTATATGCATATAGGGAAAATCAATGACCCACTGGGGCGGGGCCAATTTTGACCCTAGGGCTTTTATTTGAACAAACTTGGTAGACACTCATTAGAAGATGTTTCATGCCAAATATCTAAGCTCTAGCTCTTACGGTTCTTTAAAAGAAGATATTTAAAGATTTTTCTTTCGGTTGCCATAGCAACCAGAGTTCTGCATGAAATGGAATTCTTTGAACAATCTTGATAGAGTTTCATACAAAGAGTATTCCTGCCAAGTTTCATTAACATTGGCCTTGTGGTATCATAGAAGATGTCCTTATAATATTTAAAATGTGGACGGACGACAGACGACGGACGCCATTTGGTTGGCCATCCTAAAGCTCACCTGCACTTTGTGCAAGGTGAGCTAAAACTTAAAAACTAGAATCAGAAATCTTGAAATTCAGTCTATTTGTTGCCATAGCAACCAGAATTTTCAACATAGGAAGATAAAAAAGGATGTGCATAATTTCTATACTGCCATCTACCCATATGTCAAGTTTCATAAACATATTTTCAGTACTTTTTGTGTTATCACTGGATCCAGGTTATGTGTAAAATTTGCCATATTTTCAGTCTATTTGTTGCCATAGCAACCAGAATTTTCAACGTAGGAAGAAAAGAAAAAGACGTGCATAATCTCCATACTGCCATCTATCCATATATCAAGTTTCATAAAAATATTTTCAGTACTTTTTGCGTTATCGCGGGATCCAGGTTATGTGTAAAATTTGCCATATTTTCAGTCTATTTGTTGCCATAGCAACCAGAATTTTCAACATAGGAAGAAAAGAAAAAGACGTGCATAATCTCCATACTGCCATCTATCTTTATATCAAGTTTCATTAAAATATTTTCAGTACTTTTTGCGTTATCGCGGGATCCAGTTTTGTGGACGGACGGACTGACGGACGGACAGACAGACAGACGGACAGACGGACGGAGGGTAAACCTAAAGTCCCCTCCGGTAAACCGGTAGGGGACTAAAAAGAATTCTTGTGTAAGCCTTTCAGAGTTTTTATGAAGGAAAGTTACATGTTTGAAACATTAACAAATATTCGCAGTAATACCTATAGAGTGTACTACATTTTTATCCAGTTATCAAATCTTTACTAAGATCAATCAATCACAGTCCATTACCAAATTAACAGAGTATGTATAATGTGTGCAATAACAGGGAACAAAATTAATCTATATTTCATTAGATCTTCAGAACAAAGTCTGGATTACTGGTGTGAAAACACACACTAAAGCTCCGACATTTATATAGAACATTAATTTCATGAGGACAAAAAACAGCTTTCTGCCTAATTTTTCATGTAATATCTAAATGTATTCACTTACAAAAAGCAAGCATGATTAGTCTTTGAAGTTCAGAAAATAAATATGAATAAAAAATATTCAACAGCATTGGCAATTTTTATCATAACTTCTGGTAAAAATTTATTCATTAGACTTTTACTCTAGGTAGAGAATTATAACTACAATTTACCTGCAGCTTGTTGTAACTTAAATGTCTGTCTTGGTTCCGGTTTACAGCTGACAAAAATTATAATAGGAAGAGACTATTTTTTTTTTTTTGTAATAAGACAGGTTTTTGATCTCTAAGGCCAATTATAGCAAACAAAGTGAAATTTAAAATAAACATCCTCAATATGTCACTTTTTATTTCTTTTATATATTTATTACTAACATTATTAACATTTCTATTTTAATGAACTGAACTTTTAAAAAATATTCATTTAGTATTACCATAAGCTTTTAAGCGCAAAAAAAACTGCAAGAAAGCCAAATAAATGAAAACATAACAGAGAGATAAAGATTATAAAAAAAATCCCAAGATAATTTATGTTTATGGGTACAAACATTTCATCAGTTCCTTCTTTTCCTTTCTATTTCTTATTCATTCCAGTTCTTAAGATATTATAAATTTTCTTTTATCATCTCGAAAATATAAAAATCTGCTTTTATTTGAACGTTAATTTCAACCTTCCTTTAGTATGATACAGTTTGACAGTATTGTATAGAGAGTTTATTGTATAAAGAAAATACTAAATACAGTCAATGTAATTATTCATTGTATATATACCGACCTTCCATTATAGACCAACTTACTTTACAAAATATTTCTATAATTGCTGGATTTTAATATAACATCTTAAAGCTCATTTAAATTGCTTTCAAGTCAAAACCCTGGAAATAACCAGTAAGGAATCATGGACACTACCAATGTAGGTTTTGAACACATGACCACTAGGTTAACAAGCAGAACCTAACACCACAAGGCTTAGTATGGCTCTCTTAATTTTAAGGTTCTTGTGTGTGAACAATTAGCTCATTCTTCAAATTTAACATACTGTAAGTTAAATGGATTTTTTTTTTTTGCTTTATATATATAAAAGAATCATCATTTAAATAGGGGACTATTTCTTATACCTATTGTAGCTTATTTCTTTAGTACTTATACAAAGCATTTCTGTTACACAATTATATACCACAAGAAAGGATACAGAATTCCTCTGATGAAAAATAATGAACAACCAAAGGAATGGAATCAGTAAAATATCATATACTGTACTTGAATTATCGAATGCATAAAAGAAACCAACACCAGTAAATAAGAACTTGTAGTAGATCAAATGTTAAGACCAACATTAATGGTCCAACAATCTGACATGAAAAGGTAGTATTTCAACAAAAATTAATAGTGAAATTTAATTCAAGCATGGAAAGAATATGTGTTATTTAATAAATAAGACTGTTTTAAAGGGAGGAATTTGATATAGCATATCAATGCAGGTTTTGCTGAGGGACTTTAATATTGTGACAATATACAACTATTTAGCCCTTAAACCATCTGGAATCAAGTGATGTTTTTGATACCAGTACAGAGCCAGGCTAGCATGCACGTCTGTGGGGTCTTGGTAGCTCTTTTTTTTTGTATTTTCATACTAAAATCCCTTAAAATTTGAATGGACTGTTTCAAATTTAAAGCAGGACAAATATATCAAACAAATTCAGCAGGTTAAGTCCTATTTAAAACAATTCAAGTAATTAAATTGTGATTACTATGGTAACTGTTGCTTTGATACACATTTATTTTCTGACCTGTTTAACAGTGGAAGTTATGGCTATGTGTATAAAAGAGGTTAGGGCTAAAATGAGAAAAGTTTAATGGAAAAAGTGACCTCATCAGAGAAGAGAAACATTAGAAAAAGATACACAAATAAAAACCACTTACTTCAAACAAATGCCATTTTTATTTTCATTCCATCTAGAAATTTAGCACTACATAGATGTTTGTAAATATGAAATAGTTTGTGTTTTGTTTATATCACATATTAAAATGGCCCCGTGAGGAGAAAACATGCGGTTGTTCATACAACTCAGATACACATAACAATATTACATAGGTGCACGATTTTACATATCATAACTGCTTTATCAAGTATAAAGATTTAAAATAACCTGACACAAACGAAACATCATTCCTTTTCAAAACACACAGACTTTTTAAATATATTGAAAGGGAACACCACAACAAGCAAAAACTGAATAAAATATTTGTAAAGAGGACTAAAGAGATACAGGTAAAATACAATGTATGTAAAATATGGCTATGTACTAACATAAATTAATTTCTTACAACTTATTTATACATCTCATTCTTCAGCTGCATGACTATAATAAAGTGACACCAGAGATTGCCATTCAACAAAATTTCCCACATGGGTATATCATGTTGTCATCTGAATATTTCTTAGATAACAAACTATTGTGCTTAAAATGTGAGAAATAATAGTTTATGTAGTATTTGTGTACAACAGTATATTTCTTTTTCCAGAAAAAATGTTAAACCAATTACTTGTTTGACTCTGACCTTATATGGTGGTGATGATAAAAATGTCTTATAAATAGAGTATATATGCTTAGAAAAAAGAAACAATCAATTTTTTGGTTAATGAAATGAACAGATAAAAATAAATCATATAACTCTTTGAAATTATTCTTCTTACAGACAAAGAGTATCTCTTGAGATGTGAATGATATTTTATTTTTTTAATTTTCATGCCACATGTATAATATTTGTAATTTAACCCACTAAAAAACAAAGAAAAGTTTATTGAAAATCCTTTGAAGTTCAGAAAAATAACGGTCTTAATTACATACAAAAAGTTATCCTGAACAAAATTTAGTTACATTTAACTATAATAATGCCAAATTCAAAACATAAATCAAAGTCTTAATGCCTGAATGTTTTCAATCAACTAAGGGTAATTCTAGCCCCCCCCAAAAAAAATAAACGTTTTAGAGGACACTGTGATACTGTCTGTAAAATGATGTCACATTTACTTTACCAGCACAGATTTATGCTATCATGCACCTCTATGTAGTCAGATCAACACAAAATCTTGATAACTGCTTAATTAATATTAATTAATTTATAATTAGAGATAATAAGGCAGGACTGTCAAAATTTATCAGTAAAATGAAATATTTATTATTACAAGCAAAACAGACAGACCAGACTACCAATTCTGCACATAAATTCAGATGAGCTGACATACACACCTTACTTTGTTTCTTCTTATTATGCAAATTAGGAACAGTGTCAAAATATGCTAATTCTAATAAAATATTAAACTACTGCACATTTAGTAATTAAATAAAATCATCAGGTTATACTTTTCTTTTGTTATTAGTTTATATAATAACATTCAAAATACTTAACTTACATGATGGGCAAAACAAAATATTTCATGACTTAATTTCTTTAAGGTAAAATACATAGAAAAATCGCAACATATTATTTTGGCTGTTTGAAAAAATGTCAGCAAAAACTGAAAAATGCCAGCAAAAACTGACATTTTCAGTTTGATACACATTTAAAGTTCAAAAGTTATTATAAAGATATTCCTTATAATGTTCGCTATTTTTATCCTATGCAATGTACATAGGTCATAATGGAATTTTAACAACAAAACCATGGTTAATTGTATAAAACTCAATCAATCTACAAATCACCTTTGTCAAATTTAACCGTAAGTCTTCAATTATGATAAATCAAGACCATTTAATGGAATAATGTGTATTTCATAGATTTAACAAAAATTATCATTAGGTCATTCAAGTTAACAACGAACCAGCTTCAAAGTAAAACAAATATAAGGCCAAAGTACAAAAAGACTGATTTACAACATATTTCTTTTACACATTGTGTTTTAATGGTTTTTGTTTGAAGCTTTTTAAAACTACAAAAAAACAACAACAAAAATACAATCTTTCCTTTGTTATCAAATGCATGTAATTTGGTGTTGATCATTCATCAATGTATAACAGGAAACAATTAACATAAAAGTAAAAGTAAGTGTTTATATACTACAGTGCAAAACCAAAAATAGTTTGTTTTTAAAACATTACTTACTCCCGAAAATGTGTTCTGTTCTGTTGAAAATACCATGTAAATATCCCTTTATGAGACTTAAAGTAACTTAGCTTTAACCGCACATCAAAAGACTTTGTTATCTATGGTTCTGCTATGCGTACATATCACAGTGATATAGTTTACATTCTTGTTGTTTTTTTCATTGAATCTAACATTTACTTACTGAAGTAGTCTTTAAATGTCAATGGTTATGATATAATTTATAAATGAAATGACAGACTGAGAGTAAATAACAATAACTTGTTTTGAAACATAATTTGTTTGGTTTCTACAACAACTGAGACTATAGCATAGCTGTCAAAGCTCTTAATCCCCTCATCATTACAAAAGAAATCTCCATGCATGATGCAACTGTTCTGCAAGCTGTCTAACACAAAGCTGTGAGATATCGCTAGGAATTTAGCGGTGAGCCACAAGATTTATCTCCCTTTAGCTATGTGCGGAAGAGGTGTTTTTTGTTTCAAATTGCTGCAGTATAAACGTCCGGTTGGTTGTCTATGACTATCACAAATTGGTCTATGATTAGACAAGTTTATCACATGTGTGCAGGTCACAGTCAAGGAATCACAGACTTTAATAATCATCGTCATAAATTTTCCTGTTAAAAGAAAATAATACATACATTGTAGCTTAAGCAAAGAGATAAATTGAATCATTCAAAAATAATTAAAATTATGCAATACAATACATTTATGTTATAGGAATGTTATAAAGTTAAAATTCATAATTTTATCACATGAAGGTTTAATTACTAATTACTCATTTTAAGTTCACTATTTTATGAAATGTGAAAGTGATATAAAAAGGATTTTATCAACTCAAATGGACTGTTAGTAGTTATATCTTATCAGATACAGTGTATGTGGATATGTTTATGAAAACTCATATAGATAATTTTATAAAAAGTTTATAAACCACTTATTTCAAAGAATATTTATATAATGGTTTCTTAGTAACAAAAGCATGGAAATATAAATCAATGAAATGGTTATACCACTGCCCTTGCTATTTGCAAAGTCTACCTTTCAATCGCCAGAGTTATATGACAAATATCAATTTTAAATATCAATATTGTTTTAAGTTAATGTCTAGGTAAAGTATCAAGTTTACTTACACTTACTACAGTATGTTGTTGCGTCAACCCCTGAAATAAGATTAAAAATACATTCATATCGTATACTAATTTACAACATGTTTATAATGATCACTAATTCAATAGTCTTATCAATATCAATACCAATATTTGTTCATGCCACTCCTGTAGCATATTAAAGTTATTGCGTATGAACTCCATGTAGTATATTATGTACAGACTTGGCACAATATTTAAGTTTCATATATAGTAGTCATAATGAACAGCCTTTCAAGATGGTAACACCCCTTTTACTTTGACAGAGCAAAAAAAATGACCTTCCCTTCACAAATACATGTGGAAGAACATTCATTTTCAGCCTCATTAATTTTACTTAAAACTTAAAATTAAATTTAAACCCCAGCTGAAGATAGGTACACATATACCAAATATATAAGATGTCAGTCAATAACTTAAGATGCTATGGTAATTGAAGGAAATGGCAAATTATAAATAGTAAAATTTTGTGGAGCAAAGAAAAACAAATCTTTTTTTCCATCCAAGGAGCATAAAAACATGTGAGCCGTGTCACGACAAAACCAACATAATGGGTTTGCGACCAGCATGGATCCAGACCAGCCTGCGCATCCGCGCAGTCTGATCAGGATCCATGCTGTTTCGCTATCAGTTTCTCTACTTGTGAAAGGGTTTGTAAGCGAACAGCATGGATCCTGATCAGACTGCTCGGATGCGCAGGCTGGTCTGGATCCATGCTGGTCGCAAACCCATTATGTTGGTTTTGTCGTGACACGGCTCATTTTTTGTTTTTTTTACAAAATTAATTCCATTGTTTCTCTTGACATAACTATTAAAAGCAGAATTACTTCAAGGTTCTCAAATTCTTTCTTTCTTTTTTTATCACTTTTATTTGCTTATTGGTACTTCAAGTTGAACTACATGTAGCAACACTACCACGACTTTGAACAAACATGTACAACAATTATTTCAGGAAGTATTTATAAGGCAATCATCTTTATGATTTTTTTCAATGTAAACAGACTTCCAAAGTAAATTTCCTCATTACATTAAGCAACAAACTACACGTAGTCATCAAGTGAATTTTTACTCAGTTTTTACTAACTTTTTTTCCAAAAATAACTTGAAAGATCATGTTCAAAAGTAGCTTTTGTTGTGACATAAATACTTCTTGCTTGTAACAAAAATATGTCACAGATTATTGATTACTGATTAAACCTTGTTCATACAATTATACTGCTATTTATAATTTATCAATTAAAGGGAAAATTTAATTTAAAATACTTACAACAGTTCCAGGTCTAGCCCAAGTGTACACTAAGCCTTCCTGACATGCTGTTACTAGGCACTCTTCCCTAAAAACTAATGATGTTAACCTATCCACAGATATCTTTTTACACACTAAAGGTTCTAACAGTGGTGATTCAGTCAATCGTGGACAGGCAGGGGTTCC